TTATTGCTGATAAAAGAGTTATATTTATGAGATTATTATAATTAATATCAAATATGTTTCCATTCTTAAAATCAAGCATTTAAAATTAAAGATTATATCAATTAGATTAATTAATTCTACTTTAAGATAGTATGGGAATATCTGAAATATTTATGTAAAGTAAATTTTCAACTTATATTAGATTCAATTATCAAATATATTAAATACTTAATGGATATTATTTTTTCTGATTAGTCTTCTTATTAATTAATCACATAAATCTTCTTTATCCATATGTTAATTTCAAATTCTATACATTTTTTATATTGAATTTAATTATCATTAATACTTTATGAATTTTATCAAAATTTAGTGAATCAACATAGTAAATGCAATCATTCTATACATACTAATCTTTAAATACTCTTATTCTATTTTAATCATATTTGTTGGTTAAAAAAATTGAAATTTTATTATAAAAATGATGAAAAAAATTAAATATAATTGAAGTCATAATTTAATGAAAAATTTCTCTTAGTTTTTATCTGAAAATTTACAGGAAGGGAATGAAATCAAACCAAAACCTGATTTTTCAAAATATTAATTTTGGGGATTGTACTTTTCTGCAAGTTGGTGTCCTCCTTGTCGATAATTTACAGGGATGTTAAAAAATTTTTATGATGAAATAAGAAAATCAAAGACTTTTGAGATTGTGTTAGTTACTCATGATGAGAATGAAAGAGATTTCATGAAATATTATTAAAAAATGCCTTGGTTGGCAATTCCATGGTCTGAGAAGATGTCTATAAGTTATTTGACAAGAATTTGCAAGCCATAAACAATACCACATTTATGCATATTTGATTAAGATGGTAATTACGTTACATGTGGAGCCAGAGATGATATTGCTATGTATGGAATGAAGGCTTGGAATCATTGGGAAGATATTGCTGAAGAAAGAAGAAAATATAGATAAAAATGATTAATTTTGATAATTACATTGAAATGGCATATGAAATGAAATAAACATTTTATAACATACTAAATCAAATATAACCAATTATGATGCGTATTAAAATTAATTATTTAAGTTATCTTATATTCAAATGTCGCAATCTCCTAAAAAATGGTATCAAGAAACTATAGATTCTCAAAAATCAAAGATGGAAAAAACTGTTCCAATCAGTCCACTTCCATAAGATGTTGCAACCCTCACTTTACCTAATGGAAAAACTGTTCAACTACCAGTTTATAAAGGGACTAAAGGTCCTCCAATGATAGATATTACATAATTATACTCGAAAACAGGATATTTTACATTAGATCCTGGATTCTCATCAACTGGAGCGTATAAAATTAATAATAATATTAATTTAGATGCATGTCAACTATGACCTATATAGATGGTGATAAGGGAGAATTATTATATAGAGGTTATCCAATAGAAACATTAGCTAAATATTCTTCTTATATAGAAGTGTGTTATTTATTCATATATGGACATCTTCCATCTTAAAAAGAATTATAAATATTTGAAGAGACTATGGTGAGTGAAATGATGATAAATGAGAAACTGATTGAATTTTATAAAGGTTTTGCATCTGACAGTCATCCAATGGCAATTATGGTTGGTGTAGTTGGTGCATTGAGTGCTTTTATGCACAAAGATTTTGATGTAAATGATCCAAGAGATAGAGAGTATATAGCAATAAAATTAGTAGCAAAGATGCCAACTCTTGCAGCATATGCATATAGAACAGCTTTGGGATTACCTATAATATATCCAAATAAAAAGTATTCATTTATTGAAAATTTCTATTATATGGTAATTACATACAATAAATTATAAGATGTTCTCAACTCCTATGAATGAGTTTAATGTTGATAAAGTTATTGTTAAAGCATTAGATACTATATTTATGTTACATGCAGATCATGAATAAAATGCATCAACTTCCACTGTCAGAATAGCTGGATCCTCATTGGCAAATCCATTTGCATGTATTGCTGCTGGAATTACAGCTTTATGGGGACCATATCATGGAGGTGCTAATGAAGCAGTATTGAATATGTTGAAGGAAATAGGAAACAAAGAAAATATACCTCTATATCTTCAGAAAGCTAAATCTAAAGATAATTCTTTTAGATTAATGGGATTTGGACACAGAGTATATAAAAATTATGATCCAAGAGCAAAAGTAATGTAGGAAATGTGTTACAATGTTTTACAGAAGACTTAAAGAGCAAATGATATTTTAGAAGTATTATTTATCTTATTAAAATTATAGTTGGCCATTTTATTAGAATAAACAGCCTTAAAAGATGATTATTTCATCCAAAGAAAATTGTATCCAAATGTGGATTTCTATACTGGGATTGTTTATGAAGCTTTGAGTATTCCTACTTCAATGTTTACTGTTATGTTTGCAGTTTAAAGGAGTATTGGATGGATTTGTTAGTGGATGGAAATGATGTCAGAGAAAGTACAAAGAATTAGTAGACCAAGACAATTGTATGTTGGGGATGATCAAAGAGAATATATTTAAATATAGAATAGAAAAGAAGAAGAAAAAAGTAGAGTCTGTAAATTACCTATGCATAGTAGCCTATTTGGACTTGTTAAGGTATGATCAGATTTATTTGTAAAAATAAGTTATAAATATTTATTTATATATTATTTTATAAGAATCAAAAGAGTAATTATTCATTTAAGAAAGTTATTAACAGTAATAAAACATATAGATATATATATAATTAACATATAACAATATTTCAATTCACAGGTTTTATCTATTATAATTAAATAGATGAATACTCTAAAATGAAGTCCAATTAATGAAAATACAAAGCATTTCAAATCCTGAATTAAATAAAAGAAAACTCTTAAACCATCTGGATCTTAACTGCTTTAAACATCATGTATTGATCCAAGTTTTGATGTAGTAAATGAAATGTGTGCATTACCTAATTTAATTTCTAATTCCTATCTACCAATTTTATCTGGTGCTGGCCATTTTGAATCATTTTCTCTTATTAAAATATATTCAATTCTTACTTTATTATTTCTGATTCTTCAATTATTCTTTTGAACTCTGAAATCACTGACTCTGAAACAAAACACTCCTTTCTTATTAATACATCTTATTTATAGTTAGAATTATTTGCATATCGTAATCTTCCATCACTCCTAAACTCAAATTCAAGAAATTCATGTCCATAAACACCCTTATGTCCAACACTAAATAATACTTCTTAAAATTGTACTAATATCTGAGATAAAACTCATCATTTTAATTATTTTGCATTTTTTTTAATTATTTATATTATTAAATAGTGATTATTTAATTATAACAAAATATTAATTAATACAAATTCATATCAGAAATCTATCAAATTATTCAGTAAAAGCAATTATATAATAATTATTGATTCAAATATATATACCATATTAATAATAATATCATTATAAAACCTTATTTTTTATTAGTAAATCTATAAATAATAATTAATAAGATACAGGAATTATTTTATTATATAATTAAAAGGATAAAAAGAATAATAATTTTGGAAATCTATTTATTCTTGATTAATTAAAAATAATTAACATGATATTTCTGTATAATATTTTATTTATTGTTTAATGATTTAATTCATAAATTTTATGCTTAATAGATTTATATAAAGAAATTAATGGAAATAAAGTGAAGATAAATAAAATCTATAATTATTTTGACCATTAATTATTTCAGATGTATTATTTTATAGATATCATTCTTAACCTATGTCTGCACCAAAAGAATCATTTTCTTCATCTTAATCTACTTTTTATTAGATTTTTTCATTTTTTGCACTTTATTTATTGGTTTTGGTTAAACTTTTTCCATTGAATTTTTTGCCTATTTATGTGCAATAGAGTTAACTTTCTTATGAATAACGACTTCTATCATTAAAGGCTTTATCATGATATGACTATATATTAAAATTAAGTTTAAGTACCTACTATATTTCTTTTGGTAAATCTTTCCATTCATTTGCAATTAATTTGGTGATTTCTTAAAACTGTAGATCTAGCATAGCATTAAATAAGACTTGGATATTGTTATTAAAATTTCTCTCTTTTATCCTAAAAATAAAAGATGAAGGCTGATTTAGGCATCTTTGGTGCTAATGGATCTTTTTGTCTTTTTTGTTTTTTTTGTTTTGTTACTTATTGTTTTGGTTATTCTTCTGGTTCTGGTGTTATAGTTTAATATGATTCCACTAAAGCTTTAAATCGAATAAGAAAATTTTCAAACTTGCTTTGTTCTTTTTTCTATTTATGATATTATCATAATTTACATCTTACATCTCCGAATCAAGATTTTCAAATAATAATATATATATATATATATTTCCTATCTATGTAATCAGAATAAGTAATTAATTTGTTAAATTCATTGAAAATATGAGAAGTCATACCATAAATCATTAAGGATGATACGACAATTTCTATCACTAAACTATTATTCTTTCTCCTAACTAGAATTCATTATTTCATTTTCAATAAACTTCTTTAATCTTGACTCTCTTCTTCTTGTATTATTTAAGATAGTTGATTTTTCAGAACTTTAATAAATTGATTTTATTTGTGTGTCTTTTGGAATAGGTTTAAATATAATTAATCCATTTTTCTACTTCAACATTTTTTTACCTAGTTTGAAAGAAGGTTGTTGGTAATTCTCAATTTAAGACACATTATATTAAATTTTCTTAGTTATATATGCATTTTCAAATAGATCTTATCCTATAATATTGTCTCTATATTTTTTATCTGCTTAGGAATGGTGTCTAATTTTAGGAGAATTTGTTGAGAATTTTGGATTTCTAAATTTAGCAGGCAATGTTCTATCTAAACGTATAGATTCTTAATTTGAAATACTCAATCTTTTTGGAGTTCTCTTTTATAATGTGCATGGTATTACAATTAAATCCATTTAGTATCTATTTATGACAAATTAATATATTTATGATCAATATTATAATCAGAGAATCGTCTTTCCGATTTCGAATACCTTTTTTAATCCGCAAAGATTATCAGTTTTAATGAATTGACTCTCGATTTTGCGTTTTTATAAATAGGAATCACAAGTTTTTAATTATTTTGCCAATGACATTCTTCTACTGACAAAATATCTGTAGTTCATAATATTATAAGGATTTACTTTTATTATTTATTCAATTGAGCTTTGCTAGTATTTTATGTATTGAAATTAGTTTTCATTTAAATCATTCTAGACGATGATTCAGTGCTAATACTAACTGATCTTGCTAACATAAGATGTAAATTTGAATATTTAGATGGATTATATGTAGGTTTTTTTACATTTTATTATCTCAAAAGTTAGCTCAACTTTATTAAATTCTCATTCAAATCTTGGTCCATTATTATTTTGTGTAAAAATATTTATTTAGTATTAATGAATTATAAAATCATTTTAAATTCTCTTTTTATCCTTACATTTTCTACATCAATAGATGTAAATTACTTAAACTTAACTACTATCTATTTGTTGATTTTGGTTAAAGAATTCCTTCTGTTACTAAATTTTTAAGATCCATGCTTTTATTCTTAATTAATGATGAATTTTTCTTTTTAGAATTCTAAATAACCTATTTTTATTATTTTATAGGCATATTTTAACTGTTATCACGAGAATGTCTAGGAGAACTAGCTATTGATATAAATTATGGAGATTTGTCTCCAGCTAATAATTTAGCAAGTGGAGATCTAGCAGATTAAACTTACTTTTATATTTCTATATCCTTTTTATCTTTTATAAATGAAGTTTCACTCAAACTTTAACATTATTCAATAGCTGATTCTTCATCAATTTGAGTTAATTATCTTGGTTCTGCTATGCTCTTTTCATCAAGTACAATTTATTTATTATAGGCACTCCAAATGTCATCGATTACTACATTTACAATCATTTATAAATTTGCTTTAAAAATATTTGAATTCAATTTGTAATGTTCTGCTAACTTAAAATCTTTTAAGGGAATCTCTTTTTAGATTGCCAATTTCAACAATTCCTAGAATGTTAAGTTTAACTCACTTAAATAGTATATGCGTGTTCTTATTGGAAAATCTCTTTGAATAAAGCAAATATTTTTTCCACAAAATTAGATGCCAATCTGTTGAAGATATTATCGATCTCCAAAAACTTCTAACTTTCCCTCTGAATCCTCAAGAAATCCAACTCTTACATTAATTTAAGATCGTTAAAAAAAATATTAATGAGAACAATTATTAATATTTAAATTAATGTTATTAAATAGATAACTCAGTATAACAATAATTATATATCAAATAATTTAGCAAAAATTAATATATATATATCCTTAATCAGATAATAGGTAAATTGGAAGTTGGCATACTCTAATTACGATGATTTCGTTTCTAATTTGGAGAATGATCTTCTAAAACTGGTAGTTGACCTAATCTCTTCTAATATAAATAGGGAGTTTCCTCTTGTGATAATTTTCTATATCTTTATTTAATTTATTTATAAATTGGAACTTCCTTCTAATATTCAAGTAATATTTTTGCAATCACATTCCTATCAGAATAATTATGTGCTTTCTTATTTTTACCTGCATAATTTACTGAATACTATTATTCTTTAATTAATATATAAATACTTAAAAGCATTTCCTATTCTGCCAAATATTAAGAAATTCTTGTAGGATTAGGTGAAGATTAATGAGAACCTGCTCCAATAGTTGTTAATCTATTTCTTTATATAGTTTCCTAAGTGTCATTATTTTAATGAGTCTCAGTTTTGTATTTAGGATTATTGTAATTAGCTTTAGGTAACATATTTGCAATAGAAATTTAATTTTTAGGGAATATGATAGTATTTAACAACTTGCTTTAATCATCAATTGTATATGTTTTAAATTTATTAAAATAAGGGAGTTCTGTTATAGCATAAGATGTTGGTCTTAAATTTGTTTATACTTATAACATCATTCGAATAACATTCTATAAATCTTAAGAATATTAAGATGGAAGTTTTGGATATAAGCCTATATATATTCTTTAAATTACCTCTAATAACTTTCTTGTAGAGTCCTTCCATATCTTCAGCTCTAAATGGAGGTTTTAGAGCAGCCATCTCATATGTTACACATCCTAATGACCAGATATCTGATTTCTGATCATAAGGTTAATCTTTCCATACTTCAGGACTTGCATAATATGGTGTTCCTGTTTGTGTATAAAGTAATCCCTTTTTAGCTACCTTTGAAACATTCATATCTCCCAATTTGACATCTCCATTTGATTATAAAAAAACATTTGCACTTTTTAAGTCTCTATGAAATATTTTCAAATCATGTAATGCTTTTAAACCACTGGCAATTTAAAATGTAATTTTTAAAATATCATTTTCACTCATAGTTGTATTAGTTTTGGCACATTTCTAAATTTATTAAAACAAATCTCCATTATCTGCAAGTTCCATAACAATACTGTTTTATTATTATCAAATTTTATTACCATAATGAATTACTATTAACATCAATGAAAGCTTCCTTATAGCTAATTATATATGGATTTTTAATGGATGCTAATATTCTAACTTCATTTAAAGCATTCTATTTCTCTTTATCACTCAAATTTGTTAGATTCACCTTTTTTAAGGCATAATCTGAATTGTCTTCTTATCTTTTCACCTTATAGACAACTGAATATGCTCCCTCACCTATCATATAAGCAAACAAAACCTAATTTTGACATAATCTTGAAATCTTTAAGTGACATTATATAATAATATAATAATATATATATATATATTATATTAATCATTATGCTTTCTTTCCACTTTTTCCTTTTTATGCACTTACTTTCTTAGTTGAATTCTTAACTGCACTCTTTTTTACTGATTTTTAAGTGCTTTTTTATGTACTCTTTTGAGTAGATTTTTTTGCAGAATCCTTCTTTGCAGATGCAACTGGAGTTTTTGGTGGTGCTGTTGTTGCAACATCAACTTTTGCAGGTGATGCTGCCTTAACTTATTTCTTAATATTTTTAGTAGCTGATCCACTCTCTAATAAATTAGTTATCATTGAATTTACTTTTTCCTGATTTACTTTAACTTCTACTTTTTCCTCCTTTTGCCATTTTATTATTTATTATCTCTTTGAATTTGTGTTCTGCTAAATATCAAATTTAGAATTATAAATTAATTTAATTGGCTATTTCATCAAAATTATGAATATTAAAAATCCAATCACATATATTACATTCTCATTTATTCAAACTATTACATTATTAATCATTGTTTCAAAGATTATCAAGTTTTTCAATAAAAAAATGTCTAACAAATTTTCAACCAGTGATTATCAATATTTTTGATTAATAACTCTTATACATTTATCTACTGCCAATTAGTATTCTTGTATAGATAAATTTATATTTGAAATTTTCTATTTAGGTTTAATCTATTTATTTGAAAGATCTCAAAACACTAAGAAGATTATAGTTGATTTTTATTAAAATTATTCTTTATTATGGGCTCATAATGTTGTAATGGACAAAGCAAATCTCTGAATTATGAGATAGTCAATGACAGTATCAAAAACAGTTCTTTGTTTAAACAATCAATACATAGTCTTCCATTCACTAATCAAATGCCATGCAATAACGATGAAATATTAGAGTTGAAAAAAGAGAATGAAATGGGTCTTCCTCCAATTAGTGAAAATATTAGTCAAGTTAATGAACTTGAGAAAGAGAAACTATAATAGGATTTATCTTAAGTAACTGTTGCTCAAGATCCCAAATCAACTAATAATATAGTTAATACATCAGATCAATAAATTAAAGAAGGCTATAATAATAGGTCTTAATCTACTCCTTTTAAGAGAAAGACACTCACTTCACTTGGTACAGTTAAATTGGGAGCAGATGTGTTTGTAAGTTTAAAATAGGGCAGTATTGGAAAATTTTACTCAACTGGATCAACATTAGGAGCTGGTGCTTATGGTAAAGTATGGAAAGTTACTCATAAAACAACTGGTATAAACTCAAAATCATTTATTAAATAGGATTAATAAGAGCTATGAAATAAATCAAAAAGTCTTCTCTAATTCAAGAAGAATAATAAAGGTTGTTTGCTGAAATGAATATACTCAAGAACTTAGATCATCCTCATATAGTGAAACTGTATGAATTGTATTAAGATGCACAGAATTACTATTTAGTTACTGAGTATTTGAGTGGAGGCGAACTCTTTGAGAGAATCAAAGCTATGACTATCTTTAATGAAAAGAAAGCAGCTGAATACATGAGACAAATTCTCTCTGCTGTCATGTATTGTCATGAATAGAAAATTGTACATAGAGATTTAAAACCTGANTTATCATTGAATTTACTTTTTCCTGATTTACTTTAACTTCTACTTTTTCCTCCTTTTGCCATTTTATTATTTATTATCTCTTTGAATTTGTGTTCTGCTAAATATCAAATTTAGAATTATAAATTAATTTAATTGGCTATTTCATCAAAATTATGAATATTAAAAATCCAATCACATATATTACATTCTCATTTATTCAAACTATTACATTATTAATCATTGTTTCAAAGATTATCAAGTTTTTCAATAAAAAAATGTCTAACAAATTTTCAACCAGTGATTATCAATATTTTTGATTAATAACTCTTATACATTTATCTACTGCCAATTAGTATTCTTGTATAGATAAATTTATATTTGAAATTTTCTATTTAGGTTTAATCTATTTATTTGAAAGATCTCAAAACACTAAGAAGATTATAGTTGATTTTTATTAAAATTATTCTTTATTATGGGCTCATAATGTTGTAATGGACAAAGCAAATCTCTGAATTATGAGATAGTCAATGACAGTATCAAAAACAGTTCTTTGTTTAAACAATCAATACATAGTCTTCCATTCACTAATCAAATGCCATGCAATAACGATGAAATATTAGAGTTGAAAAAAGAGAATGAAATGGGTCTTCCTCCAATTAGTGAAAATATTAGTCAAGTTAATGAACTTGAGAAAGAGAAACTATAATAGGATTTATCTTAAGTAACTGTTGCTCAAGATCCCAAATCAACTAATAATATAGTTAATACATCAGATCAATAAATTAAAGAAGGCTATAATAATAGGTCTTAATCTACTCCTTTTAAGAGAAAGACACTCACTTCACTTGGTACAGTTAAATTGGGAGCAGATGTGTTTGTAAGTTTAAAATAGGGCAGTATTGGAAAATTTTACTCAACTGGATCAACATTAGGAGCTGGTGCTTATGGTAAAGTATGGAAAGTTACTCATAAAACAACTGGTATAAACTCAAAATCATTTATTAAATAGGATTAATAAGAGCTATGAAATAAATCAAAAAGTCTTCTCTAATTCAAGAAGAATAATAAAGGTTGTTTGCTGAAATGAATATACTCAAGAACTTAGATCATCCTCATATAGTGAAACTGTATGAATTGTATTAAGATGCACAGAATTACTATTTAGTTACTGAGTATTTGAGTGGAGGCGAACTCTTTGAGAGAATCAAAGCTATGACTATCTTTAATGAAAAGAAAGCAGCTGAATACATGAGACAAATTCTCTCTGCTGTCATGTATTGTCATGAATAGAAAATTGTACATAGAGATTTAAAACCTGAAAATATCTTGTTTGTTAATGATTCCTCAACTTCAACTTTGAAAATTATCGATTTTGGAACTTCAAGAAAATATGATCCTTCTAAAAAGATGACTAAAAAACTAGGAACAGTAAAAATTTATTTGATATAATTACTTTTTTTTAGCCTTATTACATTGCCCCAGAAGTATTAAAACAAGATTATAATGAAAAATGTGATATTTGGTCATGTGGTGTTATATTATATATTTTGTTATGTGGATATCCTCCATTTATTGGAAAAACAGAAAAGGAAATAATGAAAAAGGTAGGAGAAGGTAAATTTGAATTTGATGGTAATGTCTTAATTTCTTATTATAAGTGCAGCTGACGATTGGAATTAAATATCGAAAGAAGCCAAGAATCTAATTAATAGAATGTTGCATGTAAATCCTAATTTCAGAATATCAGCCAAATAGGCTTTGAGTGATGCCTGGATTGTAAAGCATTGCTCATAAACTACTACAAACCTTAATGTCAATTTAAGAGTTCTTTAGAATCTCTAAAAATTTTAAGTATTCTTTATTATTTATTAGGCTAAATCCATTTTTTCTTAGGCTGTTTTATCATATATTGCTTGTTAAATGACAAATTAATTAGAACAAGATGAATTACTTAAAACATTCCAAAGTCTCGATAAGAATAATGATGGAATATTATCAAGGGAAGAATTAATAGAAGGATACAATACAATCTACTAAGATAAGGAGAAAGCAGAATAAGAAGTTATTAAAATTTTGTAATTGATAGATTTGAATCAAAGTGGTTAAGTAGATTTTTCAGGTTTATAAGATTTATTTATATATCTAGAATTCTTGATGGCAGCTATGAATTAAGAGAAGTTGGTATCTTTATAGAAGGTCAAAGCAGCATTTAAAGTATTTGATGCAAATGATGATGGCAAGATCTCTAAATAAGAATTAGAATAAATGATTGGAACTTTAGATTAAGAATTATGGGAATAAATTCTTGAGGAATGCAATGCTCAAGAGTTCATTACAGAAAAAGAATTTATTAATATCTTACTTCATTAAAAAATTTGATATTTTATTAATCATGATTTTTCTTATTCCTAAAAAAATAATTTTTACTCTCTTCAATATCATACTTTTTATTTTTATACTCTATCCAGTATTATAATATTAAAAAGAATATAAAAATTTTATGAATATGATATAAAATCTAAATCATTATTTTTATAACAGAGAAAACAAAATCTAGTATCAAAACAGAATAAAAAGATGATAATTTAAAATTTAATTTCTAATGAGAATTTCAGATTAATTACTTTTTCTTAAAAATAATAATATAATCATTGAATATATATAATTGTAAATTAATTAAAAAATTATTTATATTACATTAATTAAATATTATTTTGGAATTAGAGAATTCTAGCAGCTAATTTTTAACAAAATGAAGTATTTTCACTCTAATATTAATGTAAGAAATCACAATTCAGCAATAAACAGAAATCGTAAGATTAAATGACACTGTTATAAGTTCTAAAAGTCTTAGAGCAAAAAAGGTAGTGGATTTAGCATTCAAAAATATAAATTATTCAGTACTTGGTATTAAAGGATGTAATAACTTTGTTTTAATTTAAAGAATAAAGATAAATATTAAAAAATTTGGATGGCTTTTGTAAAGGAGGAGAAGTTACTGCAATATTAGGAGCATCTGGGGCTGGAAAAACTTCACTCTTAAACATTCTTTCTGCAAGAATTTCTAATACTAAAACTGTTAAATTGACTGGAAAAGTATTAGTTAACAATATAGAATACAATTCTGAAACATTTTCTAATTTTGCTGCTTATGTTATGCAGAATGATGTTTTATTTGAGACATTGTCTCCAAGAGAAGCTTTTGAATTTGTAGCAAATTTAAAATACACTGATCCAGAACTAAAGATAAGTAGAGTTGAAGATACTATAAAAACTATGAAATTAGAAAGATGTTAGAATGCAATTATAGGAGGACCAAATCTTAAAGGAATTTCAGGAGGAGAAAAGAAGAGAACTTCAATTGGATTTGAACTTGTTACTAATCCAAGTTGTATTCTACTTGATGAACCTACTTCTGGATTAGACTCATTCACAGCATTCCAAATTATGTAATTTAAATTTATTATTTTAGACATGAATTGACTCTTTTAGCTCATGAATAGGATAGAACAATAGTATTTACAATACATTAACCATCATCTGATATTTATTTACTTTTTGATAGAATTATGTTACTTGTTTAAGGAAAATTTATATACTAAGGACCAAGATCAAATTTAATTAATTATTTTAAAGGAATAGGATTTAGTTGTCCAGATCATAGTAATCCTTTAGATTACATGATTAGTATAATGCATTAAGAGAGTCAAATTAATGTGGATAATTATATTACATATTTTAAGGAATATGATAATTAATGGGCTCCAAAAGTACAAAAAGAAATAGAATCATCTTCAAAATCTGAAATATAATTCAAAAAAGTAGAAACTTCAACATTATATTAAATAAATCTTATAGCAAAAAGAGCACTTAAATCTTATTTTCGAGATAAATTATTAATTAGATAGAGATTTGGAATGGCATTATTTATGGGACTTCTAATAGGTGGATCATATTATGGAATTGGATCTTCTTAGGGAAATTATATGGATTATTCAAGTATGGCAGGTTTATTGTTTTTCTTGTGTATGAATATGACTTTTAGTTCCTTATTTCCTGTAGTATTATAGTTTGCTACTGAAAGAGATGTTTTCTTAAGAGAAGAGAACTCAAAACTTTATACAACATTTTCTTATTTTATGGGAAAATCATTTGTAGAAATACCATTTTGTCTAATCACTCCAATAATTTAAGAACTAATATTATATTGGATGGTGGGTTTAAATCATATGAATAGTGGAATTGTAATTACCCATATATTTATTGCAGTTTTGACATGTTTGAATGGCAACAGTATTGGTTTAATGGCAGGGTGTGCTTTTAATGATATCAAAGCTGCAACTGGATTTGTACCATTGGCTTTATTGCCATTATTTGCTTTTTCTGGTTTTTATGCTAATCCAAAATAATTTTATGATTGGATTGGATGGATTCAATATGTAAGTCCAATCAAGTATTCTTTCGAAGCCATAGCCAGAAATGAATTTCAAAGTAGATCCTATGATTTCGGTGATCCAAATGATAACTTAGGATTTAATGTTGGTTAATGGGAATCAGTAGGAATTTTAATTGCTTTTTTCCTTGTAATAAGAACATTTGCATTCATGTTTTTGCATTCTTTAAGATCCAAACAATAATGATTTTTATGTTTATTACTCAATTAAAATACAATTTGTCTTAATTTTAATTATTGATAATTATTTTATAATATAAAATTGAAATTAATTCTTCAAAATAGTGTTTTAACAAAATTAAGGTAATTTGATATTGTTTTCTAAATCAATAAATATTAATATATTTAAAACAGGGGAAAACTGAAAAATTTAGAAGTTTAATTAACAAATGCCCATCACTAATTTAAAAGAATTTTTTTTAATTTACTATGCTTTCTTATGGAAATAGTGTCACTCTTTAAATATGCCATTTCAAGACTCTATTAAATTGTAAAATTTATTAATAACAGAAATATCTTGATAATTCAATTCTATTTGGAATTAAAAAATTAGCCTTTACGGTTAAGTTTAAAAAATATTATGCATAGAAGGCTAATTTTGGCATTCTTCTTTTACATCCAGAAGATCAAAGGAATGAGAAAGGAAGAATTTCAATTTTATTTAGATATAAATCTCATGATCTGAAGGCTTAAGTAGAAGATAATGTAGAAAGAATCAAAGAGATTTATTAAGATTCATTTGAAAAAATGAAGAAACAATTAGAAAAAATTAAAAGCTTGAATATGTATATAGAACCTACTGAAATTAAAAACAATTTCTCAATTAAGGATCAAATTGAAACATAGAATAATTAATAATAAAAAATAATCAACATAAAAAAAATGATGTTAAAGAAGTAAAACAAGCAAAAAATAAAGCAGTAGTATTAGTCAGGTAAAAGAAAGCAGTTGCAAGAAATTATGAAAAATAAATAATAAATTTAAAAGCATAATTAAATATAATTGAATCATAATTACGATTAACTTATCAATTAAAACCATACTTTTACTACATAATTATAGAAGCTGCTAATTCTATATTACCATTTGTTTAATCTAATACAACTATTGCTTCGGCTCTAGTAACCCCAAGATTAATAATTGCTTAAATTGAGGATTCTGGATATCTAGAATTAGTTTTATTGGCATTAGGTTATTATTATTATTATTATTATTATGGTTATTATTATGGTTATTATTGTGGTTATTATTATTATTATTATGGCTAATTTGAGTTTTTGATAGGTTATTCTTCTTATATTTATGAGTCACTATTTTATCTTTTCAATATCTCCTATTCTTATTAAATACTTATTCTTTTATTTATTTAACCTTCTGGAAGAAATGGTACACTCAATTTTTCATTTGGAAATATTAAGCAATTATCCTTTAAATTGATATTACACTAATATTTATGTATACAATATTACTTAATATCTTTTGAGCATATCTAATCCAAACAAGAAATCAATACCATCTCCATCTAAAATAGTCAAAGAACATGGTAAAAACTAATGAATAGAAAAATATTAAATTACTTGATCTAGTATCTACATTTCAACTACATGAATTCTTCCAATAATCTTTTATGTTCCTACTCCTTAAGCAATACCTTAAAAACGAGTATCAACCAATCTCATTATTCCACATCTCTCTGCACAAGCTTTGGACATAATTGTACTTTATGCCCCACTATCAACAAAGGCCTATACTGGATGACGATTAATTGACAATTCAATATATAACATAGTAACAGTTCCAAAACTTTCTGGAATGTATTCTTCAGCATATTCTCGATTTTCTTCAATATTTTTTTTGTTAATCATCTCTTCAATTAGTTTCTAATTTTCAGGATTTAGAGGATCCTATTCCAATTATTACATCTTTCTTATATATTCTTGTTATTCTTAGAATTTTTTTTATTACTAAATGAATAAAAAATAATACTTAATTTTAAATATATTCCATGACACCTGCTAATTTCTTTTTTTCTATTGATTCTGCTAGTTTAGGATCTTTGATTCTGATGGCTTCAATTAAATGAGGATTTTATTGGAAATGCTTTATAAATTTTATGGCTTCTAATTCTAATGGAGTTCTTTGCTATTTAGGTTTTCTTTCAATAAGAACAAGATCATCATTTTGCATATTATATTTTGAGAGAGTATCATTATCATTCATTAATCTTCCTCCATAAATCAATTATTATCGAGCCACAGCAATTTAGAACTTAGATTTAAGAAAAAAAAGGTTACTTCAACTTCTATTAATGCTTTTAAGTCTAATACAGTAAGTGTTTATTCAACTTCTAACATTGATATTTTATCTTTTACAGGATCTGTGACTTGTAATCTGAATGACATTCCTAATTTATATTCTTAATTAATTTAATTATTTTTTTTAAACTAAATTATCCTAATCTCTTTAGTATAAACATTAAATAAACTAACCTATAAGTAAATTAATATGTTATTTTTAATTATTATTTGAAATTCTTACTTTTTTTTTTCAATATTTTTAGTTAAAATCTTTATAAAAATATATAATTACTTGTTTTAACCTTTTATTAATATGAACTTAACAGAGTATATTATATTATTAACTAATTTGTAATAATTTAAATGAGATTCAAATTAAATTGAAAATTATTTGATAGAAAATAATATTCATTTGAAATACACCATTATTACAATTAAAATTTCCTAAATTTACTTAATAAAATTTAATAATAGTATGTATAATTACATAGTATTTGTAATAATAATTATAATGTAATTTCTCTAAATAATATTAGGTTAAGTATTTATACTAATAGTGTGTATCATGATATAATTTAAATAGTTTTTTAAATTCTTAAATTTATATCACATTTAATATTAAATCCATGAATAAACAATTTAAGGTAGCCTTAATAGGAGATTCTAGGAGTGGAAAGTCATCACTTATAAGATGTTTAAAGGGTGAAGAGTTTCTATATGAAACATAAGAAACTATAGGAATTGATTTTTATCAAAGAATTCTTGATATAAAAAATATCAACTATACATTTAAACTCTATGATACTAGTGGTTGTGAAGCCTATAGACAAATTTTAAATAGAATTTTAAGTTAAATTGATGCAGCTATTATCTGCTTTGATGCTTCATAAGATAAATATTAAGAACAAATAACAAATTGGTGTCATTTATTAGAAAATGAATTAAGAACAATACCAATTTTTATTTTGGGGAATAAAATAGATATTTAAGATTTGAGTATGACTTAAGATATATCATCTAAATATCCAGTGTTTTTTGTATCTGCTAAGACAGGAGAAAATGTTCAGAAATGTTTTAATAAAATATTTATGTCACTGACTCCTTAGAAGCATCTTATGATAAAATAAAAGGCAAAAAATAGATAGAGTATGTGGGGTTTACTTTGTTCTTGTTGCAAAGGAGAATGAGAAGAATTTTAAAGGACATATAATGTTTTATAGTTGTGTATATGTTTAATAATTATTTATTTGTTTCAAAATATTACTCTTATTGTAATGTAGGATATATTAAATAGCAAAATTTAGTTGAAAATAATGTTTACATTGGAAATTTAGTTATGGATCAATGATATATTTTAATTTATTTTTATAATAAGAAATATTATACATTTATACATATGAATTTAAGAAAAGGATTTAAAGAAAGATCAATAAAGGAAGATGATAAATCATTATTTTGAGAAAATTCGAAAAATATACTAATATTTTTTGATGAGAATATATGATTTTTAAGACAGAAATTGAATGTAATAATGTTGCTATTGAAATTTTTAATAATTTATAGAATTAAATAGAGTATTTTAATATTTTATAATGTAGATTGGTGTAGAATACTTTGAATCAAATAAAAGTAATAGGTTTTTGATTAAAAAAAATAAAACCTAGTAATTAATAATGAAAAGAAATATTAATTAATGCATGAATGTTGTTTATTAAGAATTGAAACATGAAACTGCTCTTAAGAAGACATCTCATATTGAAAATTACAATAAAAATCCCTCCATTTTTTTCTTCTTAAAAATTAATGATTGTTCAGATATCTTAGAAATAATAAGAAGAAATACAAATTAAACTTAAATATATATAAAAAAACAAGATTAAAAATTGTAAGTTAATCAATTATTAGAATATTATGGTTATGAGTCTTAAAGAATTACAAAAATAAACAATTAGTGATCTATCTAATTTTATTATCATAAAGCTTTTCAAGAGTAAGAAGATTAAGTGTAATAACTCTTATAAAAAAGGAATCTGTTAAATTAAAAGGATAAATAGAATGAAATTTCAATACTAATTAGTATTTATTATTATAATTATTATTATGTCTATTTTATTTACAACAGAAGAATTGAAATAAATTGAACCACATCCTTATGAATACGTATAAACAAAAACAAAATATCTAGAACAAATGAGTTCCTTTAATTACACTAAAACTACTTAACTTCCTTTCATTTCAGTTGCTAAAGCTTAACACAGACAATTAATAGATAAAGTCAAATATTATTAATATGAAGAAAAGAAATAATTACCTACACATCAATTTAATACAATTTTTGAAGATTAATCTCAGCCACCAATTAATACTGAAGATGTCAGATAACAATATTATAAAGAATTTATACTCTAACCAAAGGAAGAAGAAATATCAAAGAAAGATAAAGAGAAGAATAGATATTTGCATATATGTGGAGTCATTAATGCATAAAATTAAATAGATAAAAAAGAATACAAAAATCATATAAAAGAATTGAAATAATTATAAAGAGAGGTAGAGTAAATTCAATAATAAACTAAAAAACCTTATTATCCTACAAAGGAAATGTGTCGTAATACTAATTTGATCAATAAATTGGCAACTCCAATGTTGAATATGTATAATGTTTATTTCAAAGAAATCTTTGATGCATTAATTGATGATATACTTCTAGAAGAGGTATAAATAAAATTCAATATTTTAGGTTCAATTTTTGAATGAATAGTAAGATAAAACATTGAATGAAAATGTACAACCTGAAATCCCAGAATTTGATAATGAAGACAATTAGGAGTAACTTAATGTTGATGTAAAAGACCTCTTATTAGAACTTGGCAATATAATGGATGAATATTGATTAATTAATAATTATATAAGACAACCGTTAAAACATAATGAATTAATTTCCCAATTACTTATAATGTTAAACTAAAAGAGTAGTCCCAACTTATTAGTAATAATGCTATAGTAAGTCTCCTTAAGGAAGAAAATGTGTAGTTGTTAATTAACAATTCAGTCCAAATGAATAAAAATATATGAAATAATTCAAGTGTATAGATCAATATAAGTACTAATAACCAAAAGCAATTATATATCCACAGAAAAGAATGTCACCACCTAATAAATCACCTTTAATAGCTACAAAATTAAGGATTTAAGACAAAGAAAATAATAATCATTATTATAATGCAAACATAATATTTCAACCATGCAAAACACCTAGGAATCCTTAAAATTAATAATTGTTTTCTTAATAGAATTCTCCTAATATTAAATAACCTACTCCCTAATTTGAAAATCGTTATGATTATGAAGACAGAAATCAAGAATTTAGATTATCAACTTCTGAAGTCAATTTTAGATTTGTGGATTCAGAAAAGCATACATCTGATGAATAGGAACTTAAAAATATAGCAAATTAATTTAATAAAATTGAAATTGGTAAAAAAGAACCAGAAATGTCTCCAAAATCAATAAAATCAGATGAATTCTTAGTATAGATGGATTCTGTAAAAAAATCTGATTAATTGAATAAATCTCATACAAAGAATATTGGTATTTAAGCCTTTGAAAGTATTTAATTTGAGAAACCTGAGGAATAGTTAGGTAGAATATTTGGATCTTTGAAAAAAGTTAAGATCATAAAAAAGAAATAAACTTAACCTACTCTATAGACATAAGTAACTCAAAGAACTATGGAAGATGATAGTATGATGATGAAAATTGATACATAATAGGATTAATAAGCAAAAACTATAAGTGGATTATCAAATATAGATTTTTAGAGTGAAAAGTTATAAACTGAATTTACTGATCTTGTATTAATATGTTAATTATAAAGGATTCACATAGAACTAGAAATGCATAAAATGATGAAACTGATTAATTTACAAATTTTAGATAAAACATTTCAACTCCAAAATAATTAACATAAAATAATAATATTAGTAAATTTATGTAATTATTCTAGGTTTTCTGATGTATAAAAAATAATTTGAGAAAAAGTAATGAATTTTTGTTTTATATTTAGTTAATATAAAAGAACTCTATATAAATTAAAATATACATAATAATAAATTAAATTCAATTGAAGAATCTCTGTTATTATTTTATTCTTTCCTTGATATAATGTGAATTAGGTAGATCAAATCTAACTTTACGTTTTTCTTATTATTAGGTTCGAAATGAATCATTGTTTTTTTGTTATTATTTTAATACACTTCTTGGAGTCACACTCTTTTGATCATCTGACAAATCAGCTGTATGTGATCTATTTTTTAATTACTGTTAATCTGTGATTACAGATAATGATTATTTATTTAGATGAGGTTCTATACTAATTTAAGTGATTGGATGTGATTATTTAGATGGAGAACTTTCTCTAGAAATGGATGGTTATTGAATGAAAAATGGAGCAGATTATGTTGCAATATTAGATAATTCTGCTCCAGTAGTTGTTGGTGTTTTCATAGTTATTGTTGGATCTTTAAAGGATTAAATTTAATCTAAAGTTTATTTATTTTCTAAAGTATTCTTAAGAGTTTAAAATTGTGGAGAATCTATTTTAATTTCTTTTTAACTTTATGTTTAATCAATAAATTCTTAAAAGTTGAAGACAAGAACTTCTTAACTAAAGTAGGTTAAGCTTCGATTAAATTTTAAATTTCTAATTTTAGGTTTTCTTATTTTCTTTTATTGACTACTTTCTGTAGGAATATTGCATTAATCAGACATCAAATACCTTTCAGTTGAATTAGGAGATCTATTTGATGCTTTTAGATTAGTTGAAAATTTAGTTTTATTTTATGAATCACTTGAATTAGATTGAGCAGGAGATCCAGTTTTACTTTTATTATTTGAAAATCTATTTGATCTTTTCTATATAGTTTAAACTGTTTTACCATCTAATCTTAACTTATTCTTCTACGAATCTCTCTTGCTTATTCTTCTAGTAAAATAGTATTTTAACTTCCACATTGACATGCTAATCTATTTTATTAACACACGCATCTGCAATTTTTTAACTAACAAGTACCCATTTTTATTGATATAATTATTACATTTATAATCAATTTTTGTAAATTTCTTCTAAGAATTTAAATGTCTTGATACAATCTGATTTCTACTCTTTACCTGGTTTTACACACATAATTAGGATTCCCTTATCTTTCTTGTCTCTCTTGAAACCTTCCAACCCTCTACAAGCTATCATAATTTATTCTCCTTAAGCAATCAATTAATAATGTTTTACTCCTATTAGTATACTTTTAATAGTTTATTTTATATCATCATTCAATTAAAGATTGATAGTTTTCTCTCCTGATTCAGTTTGCAAGGATATTTTGAAGATTTTAGGCATAAATCGTTTGATTAGTTCTTGGAATAATTTCTTTTTGCCACTTTACTTTTATCCTACAATCATTATTTGCTATGATTATGGAATATTATTTGAATTATCTAAGACAGCTTATTTTAAGTAATAATATCTTAGTGAATGAATGGTACCATTATCATTTAATTTTCTAACTTCAATTTTATTTGGAGTTATCAATTTAATATCATCATTAAATCTGTTTGTTACTGGGAAATATAAATATGGCTGTTAATACAATATTTCTTATGTAGAAAATGTAGTTATTTTATCTTCTATTGGTTTTGTTTATTATTATTAACATATGAAGCTTTTTAAGCTATTCAGATATTCTCTGGCTGCTTTTGGTGACATAGCCTATCTTAAAGAAGGAGATTAATATTATGAGATAGTTGATTGATCTTAAGCTCTATTTTATTTATTAAGAGGTGTTTATGTTACTCTTTATCCATATAGCTAAGTTTAGCTGTTACTATAAATCATAATAATTTTAGTATAGATAATAATTATTATTGTATATATTATTAAATTTGTATTAATGGTAAAATCAAATACATATTATATAATATATAAATAAACTTAAATTCAATAGTATTATAGATAATCTTAATAAATGATATTATAATATTGTAGAATCGATTAATTGAATTTCTATTTTAATTTTAGACAATTGTTATTGATTTAAAAAATACAATATTTTGACTTATAAATATAGATCTATATAATTATAATTTAACAGAAAAAAAATAAATATATTTTATGAATAATTCAAGATCAACAGTCAAAAAAGGTACAAACAACCTACCAATTTAAACAGGAGACTTAGAAGAATATATGTAATAATTGTATTTTTATTATTAGATAAATATTATATGATCATTAAAAGAGTTGTGAGAAAGCAGGAAAATATTTGGAGGCAGATTAAGCAAAAAAAAGATTAGGGGAATTGAAAAAAGATTTGGATTAAAAAAATAAGATTGAAGTAAAAGATAGACATATCAATGAAAAATAAGAAATTGAGAATGCTCATTTTGAAGAATTCAATCAATTTAACGAATTTTGGGATTAGAAAATGTCTGAATTTGATCAAGAAGCTTAAAGAGTTAAAGAATAAGTTCTATAAAGACATGATGAAGAATTGAAATAATTTACAGATGAATTAGAAAACTAAATTCCTGTTAAACCAAAAGATTCAGCAGAATTATTAAGTTTAAGAAAAACTGAAGAATCTTTAGCAAAATAAGAAAAGTATATAAATATAATATTTAGTTATTAAGAGGCTCATATAACTTAATAAAGAATATTATCAATGGAAAGAGATGAATATGAAAGATGGAGTCAGTCAAGATCATGTAAGATCAAAAATCTTATTGTTCAACTTAAACAAAAATAAAATACTGAACTAAATGCTTTACAATAAAGAATTGTTTCAGGATAAGAAGAATAAAGAAAGATTAGATCTTAAGAATTAGAGAAGTATTATAAGATATAAAAAATAGATTATTATAAAAATATTAGAATGTAAGAAAAGAATTGAGCAGTTAATAAAATTAAGAAATTACAAGACTTGATAAAACAATGAAGAATTAATCAATTATGTAATAATCAAGAATGAATTAATCTAAAATGTAAGGTTCCACAATGAGAAAAGGAGATGAAGAAAACTACTATATTAAATGATCAATATCAAATACTTTATTATTATGAAAATAAATTTATTCAATCCCAAGACTAAGCATACTTACTTTAGTAGATCCACTAGGGCCACTTCTATGATATCACTCAAGAAAGTAGATGAATCTACTTTAGGAACTGTTGGGAACTGGGCATAGACTACTTTACCTTAGGTAAAAAAGAAAGAAAATAAAATGCAATCCATTTATCAAGAAGATTATAATTTTCTTAGGGATCATGATAAACTATTTAAAATAAATGATGATGACAATTCTCCATATAATAATAGAAAGTAGTAATCTCTAAAAATATTGTCTCAAATCGATTTAAATGATATAAATGATTTAGAAGAGAGATTCACATTTGTATTAAAGTATTCAATTTATTATTTTTATTTAAGATATTTAAGACAATCTAAAATTGGTAATTTATACAATGTCGCAGTTTTCACATATGCATACATATTAGAAAAATAGTTTTAATATGAAAAAGCTATCTTAATTTGGTAAAAATATTTAGTATTTTGCAACTCAAATCGAGTTTATCGTTACAAAATTATTGCTTATAAACATCTTGTAGAACTTTCACTTCTGATTCATAACTTTAGGAAGGCTTTAAATTATTCTAAGAAACTCATCAAATATACATTATTATTTAATGAATCTAATTATGAATTAAATGCTTATGATTAAATAGGCAAGATATTTTATTACACTAAAGAGTAATAATTAGCTAAGGCTTTTCATGAAAAATTTATGGATGGAGAACCAATGCCAATTGAAAATAAAGTTCGATAAGCTGTTGTTAGGATGATTGAATACAAAATTCGATAAAAATAATCTAGTGGTTAAATTGATACTGATAGTGAAGATGATTTTGAATTAGAAAAATTAGCTGAACCTAAAAATTTAGAATTTCATCCTATTAGATTTAAAGATGCACTTCTTAAATACAAACACTTATGGGGACATGTATAAAAATAAAGTGAACCTTTAGGACCTTTGAATGTATTGACTTTTGATAAAAGACTATTTTAAAGAGAATATTTCACTTAATTAAGTAATAACAATACAATTAAAAGTTTTATACTAAATAGCAATATCTCAATAAAAAAGAATAATTTGTAAAAAGTTATTGATAAATTAATAAATGATATCTAAAATTTTTGATAATTATATTATATAAATTTATATGCATCTTTTAAAAAAAAACAATAATCTTATTTATAATATCAAATAATACTTCATATTTAAAATTCATAAATATGATAACAGATTTAAACCAAATATGATCATATTTATAAAGACGATATTTTAAATATAAATTATCGATCTAAGAGAAAAATCTATTATTAAGATTTTCTATTTTTAATGTAAAGTTATCAAATAAAGTTTTTGTATTAGCTTATTTATACAAATTCTTTATTTTGCCTTTTGAAAATCTTTTACAAACTTTTTTATTAATTATAATGATTTAATTACAATTAATATATATTAATTTGATCTAATAGTGATTCAAAATATTATGAATAGGACTATTTAATAAAAGTAGAATCATACTCTCCTAAGAGCTTAGAGGAAAAAATAACACAAAATATTTAATTAATTAATACAGTTATGGGTATGTAAAAAAAAATTGCGTAAGAAGAAATGATATAATATTTTATTACTTAGTATTTACAATATTTGATCCATTGTTTGTCATAATAAAAGTATTTTTGATAAATTTGATTAATTGACATTTATATATATATATAATCAAGTTTTCTTATATTTAAAAAAAAAATCTTAATCTGGAGTGTCATTCAAATCCAAAATTTATTTTCCCTTTATTATTTATATTTTGGAATAAATGTAGAGAGAGAAGCGATGTTCAACAATTAGACAATATGGTTTTAATGCCAATAGAGATTACATGATTTAAACTGGTCTGAAAAGGATTTAATACAATATCAATCGTAAATAGAAAAAGAAAAATAAGTAAAAGGATAAATAGGGTAAAAATCAGAAGCTATCTCAATTTACTTAAGAGGAAGATGACAGAATTCTGAGATTGGTTCAAGAATTTGGACCTAAATTTGTAAAAATAGCTCTATATTTTCCTAATAAATCATATTGTATGGTAAAAAACAGGTATTATAAACATTTAAGAGACAAATACAAAGATCTGTAAAATTAAGATTTATATTTTAGAGGCTGTGATATAAGAATTGAATAAGAAACTATGTCTTATAAACCTAATGAGAAACTAGATGAATTGAATTAACTAATCCATTCTATAAATCTATCTCCAGAAATCTTTTAATTAACTTAAAACTTCATTTAACACCTCTAGAAGTGTCTAACTTGAATCTAAGTTTACATATTAATATTCAAAATATCTATAAAATTTCGTACTGAATATATTATATAAAATAAGTAAATAAACTCCTTTTGATTAAACAATTTGTTTTAATTAAAATAAATTAAGTAATCAATAAGGATATCATTTCGGTAATAATGGTATTGGTTCATTGATGTCTTCGTCTTTGCTTTCTAAAAAGGCAGGGGATTTAGAGATTTATGAAACATTCATTTACCCAATTTATTTGTCAAAGAAAGTTAGAGTTTGTTTATCCAATAATTGAATGATTTTTTCATCGAAAAGATTCTTATCTTTAGTATTAATCATTTTGTGATATGATTCCAAATATGTATAGTATTTGTTATTGTGCTAGGAAATTTAATTAATATGTTTAATAAAATCAATATTATTAATTTTTAAATTATTATTTTCTAAGTCATTATTTAATTATATAAGAGGATTTGGTATAATATTAAATAGAAGTTATTATTCTTTAGTAAATATGATCTATTTAATGAGATCAATTTCTTATAGTTTTTTAATTAAATTAATAATGTCTAAACTTTGCATAATTTAGTTTTTAGCATTATTAAATAATAATTTTTTTTAATTTTTACATCCAAATAAAATGAACATTTTAGAACTGATATTACTTGATAATTTATGATTTTGACATTTCCAATTATATATTGTAATTTTGTCATCATTCATTTTAGTTTCAGTTAATTGACTATTGTTTTTAGTTTTAAGATCTTTTTCATCTTCTAATAATTAAAATCTAAAAACTTTATTAGCTATATCCAAATTCATAAGTGTATTAACAATAGGTCTAATTATAGAAGCCACTATGATTATAAATATCTACCATATGCCTCCTAATCTACTTAAAACAGTCTATATCTTAACATAATTTCTATTATAATTTGTTTATCTATAATCTAAAGCTATGTAATGTTCTACTATATATTCTTCATTATATAACTCTGTTGTTTCTCTCCATTCTTATTATTTGAGATTTTCTTTAACATGTATATTCTACAAAAGCCAACCATCATCACTGGTAGTCTCTATGATTCTAAAATATTATTTTATAATTTTAGATGTTGATACAGAGAAACCTGAAAATTCACTATTAATAATTTATTTATAAGGTTCGCTTGGGTTATTTAGTTACGTTAAGTAATCACTTGTATAAACAACATAATGTCCTGACATTAATATTGATTTGATTTCTTCTGGAGATGCACATTTTTAATATTCAGTTGAGTTATGGCAAACAGTCAATTATATTTTCAAATATTGATAGACCATAGCATTTAATTGTCCTTATAATGGCTTATAAATTAAGAAATTAGATTTACTGGTGGATTTAGTTTAAGATACTCTCGATTAATACATTGCATGGCACCTAATCTCATTCTACTAAAATAATCATTTTATTATTCAGTTACAAAATGTGACATATTACAGGTCTCTGTTGGAAGAAGTGAACATCTTATAAGATATTGATAAAATAATTACTATACAGTGACCACAACTAATCCGGTTGTCTCATTTTTGTTTCTGCTCCTAATACAATGAAAGATTGAAATATTATAATATATTCCCTAACCATTAAGTTGATTTCCTGCACTATTCGTTGCAGAAATGGCTAAGGTAAAGTTATCATTTAACAAAGGGAATGTCTAATTAAAAATGACTCTACTATACTTAAGTATCAAACACTTAGATTTCTGATGATACAACTGAAGGCTCGGCCTTGCCTAACATAGTGACTAATTCATTTGTTAGGTATATTAGAGTGACACCTCCAATAAGTATAGTAGTTATTAATCCAACCATGGAATTATATTTTTATTTATTCAACACTCTGAAATTAGGAGGTTGACCAAATATGTCTAGTTGATCTATGGCAACATCACGAAATTTTAAGACAAGATTTTATGTAGTTTATAAAAATTATGGCATTTTTAATAGTTGTTTTATTATGATTCAAAATAAATTATTATAGCCAACAGCTACACAAAATTGTTCTCCTATACTTGATTTTGGATTATATTTTGTAAAAAACTCTTATTTCAATTATTCTGTCTTCATTTCTTCTCTAGTTAAAGTATGTCTTCTTTATTATTCAGCCACTGATCTTTTATCTTATTTTTCTTTCCTTTCTTAAATTCTTTATTAAGCTGTTTATAAATGCTTTTTCTTTGGTTATTCTATTTTTAAGATTTAAATTCCTTTTTTTTCTTATTCTAATCTAAAGGCTCTTGCACGAATATGTTCAGCTTCAGATAATGTTTCCTTAACCAAAACTCTTCTAATTGTTCCTTTCAATTAATCTACATTAGTAGTTTTCCATTTATTTTTCAATTAATTCAAATCATAAAACTTTTCTATCTTCTTCTCAGCTTCTTTCTATTTCTCTCTCTTAGAATGAGCTCTAATCTCTGTTAAACGATCTGAGTAACATGAAGCAGTATCTTCTAAAGAAGATCTAGATAATTCCCTAATAGTTTTTTCATCAAAATGAAAATCATCTCCATGTTCTAACTTGTGTTATTAAAATTCATCTGTTTTTTTTGACAAGTACAATCTTATTGATTATATATATTTGTTGATTTCTTAAACATTTCTCATAGGAAGTCCCTTTAAAAATTCTTCTGTTATATGTTATTTCTATTTTATTAATTCTTCCAATCTAAAAAATTCTTTTTCACCTCCTGCATCTAAAATATGTTATATAGCATCTCTCATTTCATGAAATAATTTCTTCAATCCTGTTTTCTATTTTTATTAAATATTCATTGTACCCATCTTAATATATCTTCATTTTTAGTCTATTTGAAGGTTCCTAATGTTTGTCTAATTCTTTAAGTCACTTATTTACGGTTCTTTTTTAATCTCTAAGTTTTTATTAGATCTTCAGCCACCAATTATTTACAGATGTCTTTTGCTAATGTATAAGCTTCCTTTGCTCCAGTCAAGTATTTGTTTCTGATTGAATCTATGTACCTAAAGTAAAACTCTTCATCTTTATATGATTTCTCTTCTAAGTAAAAATCTTTTATAAAGTTTAAATCTTCATCCTTAAAAGAATGGAACAATCAAATACTCCAATTTCGCATAACAAATGTTTCTCCCAAGCTATAGTTTCTTGATTCCCTATATAACGATCATATTTTCTTAATGTCACATTAGTTATATCAAGTTTCTTCACAGGTGAAATTGGCAAGGCTACTGATAGAGATTAACCATATCTATCTCTTCCCATTGTTGGTTGTATTGAATTGCTATTGCTTTGTATAGATTACATGATAAATAAAAATTAATTAATTTTAGTAGTAGGAGAATTGATATATTATTTATATATATTCAAGTATATTAATCTCTTCATTACTTAATATTAATTTTAATTAAATAACACTATTCATGAATCTATAATCTTTACCATAAGAATAATAATCATTATAGGGTTTCATCAATCAAATTCCCTTTGGCATCAAATTAGTGACGATAATTACATTTGTTGTATTTCTAATCAACACTTTGTTTGATGATTAATTTACTAAATGTTTTTAAGATTAACCATTAAAAGTTTTTTAAGAATATCAAATATAGAGGTTATTCTTTACACAATTTATAGAAAGTATAATTTAAAATTATATATAATAGGCATATTTGGATTAATAATAATGCCTCTCTTTATTTGTATGAACCTATCAGATCTAGAAAAAACAATAGGAACAGTAGTATTTTTACTTGATTTCTTTTTCAAAAATTTCATGATTCAAGTAATTTCATATTTCTCTATTTAAAAGGTCATATTCTTAATTTTATCATTGATAACATTAAATAACATCAAACCTTCATAAGGTCTATGGAATGTGTATATTGTTTACATTAGTTTATAGTAAAGATTTATAATTAATTTAGGTGTTTTGCAAATCCTGATTAATTAAGAAGTCTTTTCTTCTTTCCTTGTGTAGTACCTTCAAAATATATTCCATATGGTCTTGTAATGATTGGATTAATAATGAATCAAAATATCGACTCTATTGCAGCATTAATTCTTGCTTATGTTGAAGCCAATTATTATAACTTTATGATTTTCAGACCTAGTCAAGTAAATAATAAATCATTAAATCTATAATAGCATTTTATTAAAAGATTAGAGAATAGTTTTTTATTTAAAAAAGCAATGTCCAGATAAGATTTCTTTGTTATGACATAAAATTTATAAGGTAATCCTTCCACATAACAATAATAATTGCCTGTAAGATAGGCTGAAGAATATTAAGGAAAAGGTATACAAATAGGAGGTAGTACTAATTTTGATAATATTGTAATTGATAATAAGTAAGAGATTTATGAATATAAATTTAGTGATTAATTTTAATAAGATGATTCGAAATGAAAAATAGAAATTTTATATATAAAAATATTTTAAATTAAAATAACAATGGCTATAGGATCTTTAAGTTTATATGTGTTATCCATCATAATAATTTTGGCAGATGCTTATACTTCTAGGAATCTTTCAAATTTACTTTCCTTTTTTCCTTACGAAGTTATATCTAAAACATAAATATGGAGGTTATTTCCATCATTCCTTTTTAATAGTAAAATTCATCATTTATAAAGCTTCGATTAAAAGTTTTCTGTTGAGTTTCATATTTACTTAGAATTTATTTGCTGAAAGGGAGAGAGCCTAAGGAACTGCTTTATTTTTGATAGAATTAATCCTTAAAACCTTTATCATTGATGTAATAAACTATTCTCTCATTATTATAGTCTATAATAACACTTTTCTATTACATAGAAATGAATACATATCTTATATGCTATATACATCCTTCAAATGGTTTATGGAATATGTTTTTTTACATGAGTACAATTAAGTAATATTAATTCTATAAGTAAGATGCTATTTGAAACCACTTTAAGAAACTAATTTATTATTTTTTGACTTTAAAATCGTCAACAAATTCATTCCATTTATAATGAATCTAATCTTTATTATTTTTATTGATCCAGTAGGTCCAATTGTTTCTACTTCTCTAGGATTGTTAGATGCTTTTATAACTTAAGGATCACCTTGTAGATTTGTAAGATTGTTTAAAATACCTTAGAATTTCATTTTTAAAATTGAGGAATACCTTTGTTGCCTTCTTAAAAACTATTCCAATTTTATAAGAAACAATTAAGCAACATATTCTTAAGACACTATTGAAATACTTAAGCTTGATTTAGAAACGTTAGCCAACAATTTAATTCATCATCAATAATAGATTAGTATTAATAAAGGAATAGAATTACCATAAACATAATAATAAATTTCAAATGTTGATATAATGTTAGCATATTCAAAATAATAATAAGAAGGAGTATGATGATGTTTAAATTTAATTAAAATTATTATCATTTGATAGATTTTCATCTATTTTTTTAATAAATTTACTAAATTTAAGTACATCTATTTGATAATTACCAAAATCTTAAATTATATAAATTTGAATTATTAAATGAATATTAATAAAAAAAAAAGAATATTTCTTACTTGCGGCACAAATGTCTCATTTGATTATCGAAATTTGTAACCTATTTAGCAAGATCTTTTTTGTATTTACGAGATGGACAGTTTGAGTTCATAATGAGGAAATTAAACTGTGGCAATCTCATATATATACAAAAAATTGATTTTATTTATAGTTATTTTGCTAAACAATTTAATTCATTTATTATGGGTTATTAAAATAAATAAATTAATTTAAATACCTAGACACAAATTGGGTTTGTAATATACAATGTAATATAAATATAGCTCATAAAAAGTTAAAAAAACTTGTATAGAGTTCTAATTCACTTTAATTTGACAAAGTTAAATAATAAAAATTTTATTATTTATATTTGATATTCATTTAAAGTAGAATACATAACAATATTAATTGTTTGATAGAGATTGTAATAAACAATTTTTCAATATAATATAAATAAAAATATATTGTAATTTAATAAAATATATAGTAATTTAATAAAAAATGCTTTCATATTAGCAACAAGAACTTATTGAATTACTTTAAAGTCATTCAAAAATAGCCATAGATCGTTAATTGATAAGTTAATTGTATAATAAATGTTTGCAAGATGTAAATAGCTCAATTAGTATTATAGCATAAGTAATGTACACTTCAGTAATTTGAGAAGGTTTACAGGGATGCAATTTAGTTATTGAGTTAGAAAATAGCAAATTCAAAATAATAATTAATAGAGGAACAGGATAATTTAGTAGCAATAGATGAGAGATTAAAAAATACATAATTGATTAATAATAATAATCATAGAACTCCTATGAGATTAATATTACATTCAGCATCAATATTGAATTTGTAAGTTCATAACAAGTTTATGGTTGGATAATATGCATTTTACATGAAAATAGAGGATTACTATGAATTTTAAAGTGATTATAAACCAAGTTATAATTTACAATTCTAATTAAATCAAACAATTGATATTTTAGATGTTGGTGATAGTATTCTATTATCTTTGAATACAGATAGTTAAAATTAGATGAATACTACTATTGTGATACCAACATATTCCTTATAATTTAATAAAAATGTGACTGAATTATTAACTTAGAAAGAGAATGGGGAATTATTGGAAATTGAAATTACTTATGAAATTAAAGTTTTAGATTAGAAATTATTAAATCTTTAATTAAATTAAGCTCGTACTCTTGTATTATCATATATCAAGAAATTTGAAGATGAATTAGAAGATTATTCATTGTAATTACAGGATTTGAGATAGATTAAGATACCATACAATAATGAGATTGCTAATGAATTAAATGATGGATAAAATATTCATCATAGTAGATAAGAGTAATCACACAATACATATACAATTGGAGTTCCAGATTATTATCATAAACCTTTAGAATTATAGAGTCAAGATTGCTAATTAAATCCTCAATTTTAGTAAAGACAATCAAGTATTATACCTTACATAATTGGAATAATTTTAGCTTCATTTAGTAATATTTTTATAAATATGTTATTTGAATTATCGTTTTTGATGATTATTTTAATAGTGATTTTAAAAGATGATAGAACAAATATATTTACAAAATTAATGATTCTATTATCATGGATAATGTTTGGATTAAATTTATGGTTGTATTAATCATAGAATATGATCAACATAACAAATATATAAATAGGATGGTTAGGAATATGTATATTATAATTATATAAAATTTATTTAATTTTTTTATGATAAAATAAATAATAACTACACCTTTGTTCTATGTCAATGCATAACCACATATAGGTCATCTCTATTCAATGATATATGCAGATGCTATTTCTAAGTATAAATCTATAGAATTGCTGACAGGAACTGATGAACATGGATTGAAAGTCTATAGAAGTGCCAAAAATCAACCACTCTAATAATATTGTGATTCCATTTCAGATCAATTTAAATAATTAGCGAATTCATTTATTAAGTATGATCAATTTGTCAGGACTACTAACCCTTAACATATCATTAAAGTCTAAAATATTGGAATCTACTTTAAAATAATGGATTTATAATGAAAGACATTTATAAAGGATATTATTTGTTAAGTAGAAAAATCATATGTGAATCATAAAACTGATCAATATTTGGAAGAAGATAATTACTTTTTCAAAGTTGATAAAGATTATTTAGAGATTTGCATTAAAAAAGCACCATCTAGGTATTAAAATTAATTAAAACAGTTGATATTTAATAGTATTTGTATTAGCAGACCTAAATAGAGATAATATTGGGGAATTGAGGTTCCTAATGATACTAATTAATTGATTTATGTATGGTTGGATGCTTTATTAGGTTATTTATAAGTTGAGTAACATCATTATATGCATGTGATAGGCAAAGATATAGTCAGATTTCATGTCTTATATTGGCCTTGTTTTTTAAAAGGAATCAATAATGAATCTACAACTGAATTAATTGTTCATAATCATAGGATTAGAAATAATGTAAATTTAATATAATAATTAAGATGGAAATGTCTAAATCTATTGGAAATGTTATTGATCCATTTTAATTATTAAAAAAATATAACTAAAATCAAATTAGATTATATTTTCTTACTTAAGGTCCTTAAAATAAGGATGTTTCATTTGAAGAACAAAAATTAGAGAAATGTTGGAATACTTATATTGATCAATTTAATAATATATTATTTAGATTATTCAGACCAAAGATAATATCACCAAATCTATTAATATTATAATAACATTTATTAGATGATCAATTATTATATAACAAATAAACATTTCTGGAATTATATAAAAATACTAAGGCATTATTAGATAAAAATTTATTTATTGAAGGATATTTAGAATTATAAAAGATATTTGTACTTATTAATACTTTAATTGATAAGAATTGACCATGGAAAATGTAAGTATAATTTTAAAAAGAACAATTTTTAAGTTTTATTTGTATTTTAATATCTATGACTTAATAAATTTTAAATTTATATGTTTAAACTTCTAATATCATAAGTCCTTAATTTATAGAATTCCCATAAAATATTAATGTTTAAATAATAGTGGATTTAGAGTAGGATTTAAGATTAAAAAGATTCATCATTAATTGAATATATCATTATATTAGTCTTTTATTAATTAATAATTTTTATTTAATTAGTATTTATTTTTATTAATCTCTTTTATTTCTGAACTACAACCTTCACTTTATTCTTTGCATTTCTAAATTATTTATTCTATATTTTTTAATTTCAACGGACTAGGTACTCTTTAAGTTTTTTCAGTACTGAAATTTTATCTTAAAATTTTCTTATTTCTCTTCCTTTCATATTCTAATTATTTTTTATAAATATCAGATCTCTATTTTCTCTATTAAAGTAATTCACTAACTTTGAGTAACAATTTTTCATTATTCTCTTGGTTGTTAGGACTATTGAATCGAGCAAACTTAAATTTGGGCATATAATTTTAACAAGACTATAGTATCTTAATATAACTTTAATCAGGGATCAATAATTTAAAAGGATGTTATCTTTCCTTATATTGTTATATGACTTCTTTTTCTATTATTCTTTCTTGAATCCTTGTTTCTCTTCGACTGAGCTTTTCATTTTTTATGTAATCATCCATTTTTTTATATATTGCATCTTCAAATTAAGGAGTTTGTATTTCAAAAACTTTATTTGTTTGTTTAGGAATAAGATGATGAATTTTTATTTGTCTTGTTTTACCATAAATCTTATTTACAAATTCATCATATTACTAATTAAGAAAACCAGAACTGGATGATAATTATGAAGGAGAGTAATGGCTTCTGCTTCTATAAGTAGTTAATTCATTAATATTATTCATAATTTAATTTCATTTGTAATATAGTATATGGTATATATTGCAAATAATGTCTCTAAAATATAACTCTACTATCCATAATAAGTATTCTGCTAATTGAACCACTAAACTCTAAGAAAGTCTAACAATTTTTTAATATACTTTTTGGTTTTTATTTTATTTTATTTTTATTCTCGTTATTATTATAATAATATGTTTTTAATACTTTTTTATTATTTCAGAAACTCTTTAAGTATTTATTCCATTTATGTATTTCAATTTTACTTCCCTAAAGTCATCTCCAAGGGATAATCTGATTAACAAACATATTAGTATACTTTCAATGTTATTTCTATATAATCTAATATGTAATATATATTTTAGTCACATTTAAGTCTATAATACATAATAAAATATCAAACTATGAGATGAAAATATTAGACAAATGTCACTTAATTTTATGTTACAGATTATATTATAAAAAAAGATTGTATATTTTCTTTCAAATATTCAAAATCTTACATGCTAATGATCTAATCATTTATTTAGTACTTTTATTATTCAAGTTATTTGGTTATAGAGAACAGAGAGATTAGAGAATGGATTAGTTTATAAAGACATAAAGTTAATTAAATTCAATATGATTCTTTATCTTTTTTGAGAGATGACCCTTCTAATTCAAATTTGTAATTGCTCTCATAATTATAAATTGGAGTGACCGGTGAAGTCTATTAGATGGGGTCTGATTTTCTTTACGAAATACTTTAAGTTTGTTCTAAGAACTGTTAGTTTGACAAAGGTTTATTAGTCCATAATAATTGAGCCAAGAATTGAACAGGCAAATTATCAATGTTATGATCAGTACTTAATTTCTATTTCACAAATTGGTTAACTTGTTTATGATAATATTTAAGATCAAAAGTAATTCTGTATTATTTAAAATCATCAAAGCGATTGTTCTCTTAAATACAATTTACAATGAGTGTTGTATAATTTGAGAAGGGCATCATTTTAATTCTCAAACTTATCAGTGGTTCAATAATTGACATTATACTATTTAATGGTACAATGTTTGGAAGAATAATGGATACTTTATCTAAAATAGGTATAAATGGAATTAATAGGTTGAATAATGCTTATCTACATTCTAATTTGAGTTCATTAAAAACAGGATCAATTATCATTAAGGATGGACTAAATGGAATCACAATTACATTATCACAAATATTAGTATTAAGATGTTAGAAAATACCGCTGAAATATATTTCACTTTAATCACTTTCCTTTTTAAAATCAATATTTTCCATAATTTTTGAATGAATAATAAGTGGCGTATATTCAACTTCATATTCTGGATATGATAAAATGAGTGTTACTTCATCTTCTCCGACCTATAAGTCTGGTTATAATGATTCTTTTTTATATACAAGTATTAAAGGATATTTATCTAGATTAATTACTTTGTATCTAAGACTATTTAAAAGTGCTTATCTTTCTGGATAAGTTTCTAATAGAAATTAAACTTCTTATAAGGACTCCAAATTAATAATATTTTTATTTAGAATAGAGTAGTTCATTGAATTTGAATTCTTTGAAATTTATTGAATCTATATTCTTTTTTTATAGAAGCAACAATAATAGCTATCATCATTATCTCTTTCATCTTTTTTTTTATCTTAATGTAAAGAAGACATATTATTCATGTATTATTTCATTTTAATACAAGTTTAATTCCAAACAAATAGTATAAATTTTAATTAAAAATACCTTATATTATCTATTGGTTGTGATATGTAAACTGAGATCTGTATTATAATTAATTATTTCAATTAAATTTGATGTTGATTAGTATAATTGATAAATATTATAATGGAAACATAAAAAAAAAAGATAAAATAATTTAAATTCATATATGTGATTCCAAATTGATTAAATGAGTTGAACTTAAGTTCTATGAGACAGATGATTTGATTTCCATAAAAAATTTTTTAATTTTATTACATCCATTCAAAATTTTATAAGAACATCTCTTAACTAATTAATTTTTCTAATCTGAATCTTCTTTGTTTTTTTTCTTCTTCTTCTAATTCTTATTTCTAAATTCAGCCCAAATTGCTTTAGCAGAAGAATAATTAATCCCAATAGAATGAGCAGCCTAAGGATTATTATAAGTTTTTACTGCTTTAATAGTTTACTTCTCTTTAACAACAGCCTTTAAAAATAAATCCTTTATTGATTGAGTTACTTTTAAATACTTCTTTTCAGCTAATCGTGGATCAAATTTTAACATTTCTTTCTCCACTTGTTATTTGATGTCGTCTAATATTTTCATATAATTAATTAATGTCAAACGAATACACAAAATAATCCATAGATTCAGTCAGAAGTGCGTAATTTGAAGCCATAAATTTAATTAACAAATTATACATAACTTTATTAAAATATAAATGGGAGGATGTCTTTTTAGAGATAAAGAATAAGAAGAATTAACTACTTAACCTTTATAAACATAATTTACAGATGAATTAATTATTGATGAACTTGAAGACATTAGAGATGTTGTTAAATTAAAAAATAGTGAGATCTTTTAAATAACTTTACTTAATCAAAAATGTCTTGTACTCAGAAAACATCATGAAAAACATATTAATTTAAGAGTTATAGAAATAGTAGGGAATAGAAATATGATGTATTTAGAAATTCACAAATAATTATAGTATGCTTTCATGTAATTAAGGCAATGTCAAAATTTTTTTATTGGAGCTATTACCATGAAGGATAAATGCTATTTAGTTCTGAAAATCATGCAAGGTTTAGCAGCATAAGTTTCTGTTTAAGAAATGCAATGTAAAAAAAAATTATTGTCCAGGTTTGGGCATTTAAGAAAATTTATCAGTTGTCATCAAAAAACGATTTGATGAGAGATTCATATGCGTTGGAGTTATATACATAGAAGACATGGTCATATTAGTTTTTAGACAGATATTTCTTAAAATCAAATGTCCTGTTCTTTAGAAGTACACATCACCTAGCAATGATACCCTATGCATAATTTAGTATGAAGGGTAAATCTATGAATTGAAAAAAATAATATGAATTTTAATGTCATCTTACTAAATTCCCTTAAATTATTGTATTCCTTCAAGGGGGTAAGTTGTAAGATGAGCTCACTTTCGCAAGGACCTTTTTCCGAATTATCCACTATATCTAAATAATCCGAGGATAGGATCTGCTTACACTTAATCAAACTCACAGTATTAACAAGCTATCATAATTTGATTCCTTGAATTATGGGTTGTTATAATATTATTATTATTATCAAATTCTTGAGTTAAAGTACAAAACTATAATAACATTAACAATAAATAATCCCATAAGTGTCATAACAACACATTACAAAATTACTTAATTGGATTTTATTCATTTTTAGGATTACCTAAATGTGAAAAAGGATTATATAAACTAAAATGAATATATCTTTATGTTTAAAAACCTACAAATCTCTATTATATTGGTTCTAACTATGTTACCTACAATAGAATTAACAATAATATAATGATAATATTCTTATTTCATAAATTATGTTTTTAAGTTTTTCTTGAATTTAATTAAAATCACAAAGTATAAAAGAAAATTAGATTGAATATCAAAAGAATTCCTTCTAACTTGAACTTATTTAACATAAGAATTCTATCTTTTAATATTTATTTTGCATAGATTTACTAATCAAATATTGGTTGTGTAGAGAATTGTCTTGTTTTTAAAATATGAATAAAACTAATGTTATACAATAATTCATATATCATGAAGTCTCTTGTATACTCTTTAATAGGTATATTTACCAAAATGATAGATCAAAGAGCAATTAAAAGTATTAAAATATTAATAATAAATTAGTCCATTTTATTTTATTACAATATCATTTTTTTTTACTTACTTGTAGTTATTTAAATTATTTACTATAATTTGACTTATTAAGTATTAAAATAAACTATCACTTAATGCTTCATTAGAATGAGGATAATGTAAATCTTGGACTTTTCTATAATTAATTTATGTAAATTAAATTCATATTGAAATATTAATTACAAATATTATTATTATTTTTATTGAAATTAGCAATGTTAGATTCAAGTTAAAATTAAAAATAAAATGATTTAGTAAAATTAGTTTAATGTTATTTTTTTATGTCCATAACTAATACAGTTATAAAGTAGAATGATCAAAATGAGTAAGGCTTTAGAGGTTAATCCTGATTCTAAAAGATTTTCTAAACTATTCAGTTATTCCATTTATTTTTTAGAAATCCTAATTTTATTTTTGATAAAATAATATAATATAAACAATAGCAAATAATGAATTTAATTCTTTCTATAAATATATTTGAAACAAGATCTTTTTTAGTTTATTATTATTTTGTTTCTAAATAATAATATTATTGAGGAAAAAACTTTGCATATAAATTAGAGTATAATTCTACTTTTCTATAAATATAAAAACAAGTGTATTCTAAAAGTACTTTCAATAATGGTTTTTTATTACAAATGTTTTTTAAGATTTAATATAATCGATATGCATGTTTATTATAAATTAATTTATGATAATTAATATATACCAATATAATGATAAAATATTATAATACTTACTAAAGTATTAAATATGATATACAATATTGGAACTGTTTATTATGGTCAAAAATATATAATAATTCAATGGTTATTATTTTAAAGCAATTATCTCTCCTTCTGTAAAGTAAATCTATATAATAAGTTATTAAAAATTTTGCACAGATTTTATAATGATATTTTAAATTCAAATTTGTATATTAAATATTTGTTTCTATATATCTAAAGAAATTCTTATTCATTTCATTTGAAAGTATACAAAGTTGTTAACGTATTATATTCTTGATAATACTTATAAATAGTATTATATCTATTCAAACCTTATAAATTATCAAAATGTTTTTCAGAATTTATTTATTCAATCTTATTATGTTGTATAAATTAATTGTTTAATCTTAATATTTATAGAGAATAACCTAGAAATAAAGATTAAAACATAAGTTACTAAAATTAATACTCTTGTTTAATAATAATTTAATATGTAATCTGGACAGCTCCTGAATTTATAAAGGCTTGAGAGATAATACTTATAGACACTATCTTAGAATGGATGGGAATCTCCTGTTGTTGTTAATGCAGCAGTTGAATTTGCAAATACTTTGATAAGAGATGGAAGAACATTATTAAAATCTGATAACAATCCTTAAGCAGAAATGTTCTTTAATAGAGCAAAAGAAGTAGATAAATTATCAATTCAAATAGATCACAACACCTATCTCAATTACAAGTGGAATATTTTATACAGCCAATTTTGTACGTGCAAGAGGTAATGCAATATTGTAGATTGTTTAATTGTATGAGTAACAAAATCAATATCAAAAAGCCTGGATGAATATTAAAGAAGTATTGCCTTTTATGGAAAAATTTGCATACACAAAAAGAGTAAATATTAATGAGGATGATTAAAATGTTTTAAAAATATATGTCTAGTTACTATTTCATGGATGTGAAGTATGTAGAATGATGCATAGAAAAGATGATATGTTGGATTAATGTAATAAATATGTAGAAATTTTGAATCGTTTGGGTATCACTTTTGACTCTTTAAGAAATCTAACCAAGGACGAATTTCATTAAGAATTCAAAAAATGGTTTTTGATGTTGGCAAAAGCTTTTTATTATATTGGTAAATCATAATTCAAGGTTGGCTTTGAAAAGGAAGCACTTCGTAATCTCTATAAATCGTGGTAAATTTTTGAATTAATTTATGGAATGGATGCACCAGCAACAATTAAAGCAAGAGATAAATATGAGAAATTGAGTTAGAAAATGGAATTTGAGATGATTATGGGAAAAGAGAAAGTGGACTTTTAATAATTTAAGGAGGATTTATAAAAGGATGTTGGATAAGATCTACTCAAAAAAGTAATTACACTGAAACCAAATAAAAATTTTAATGTATATTTATATTATTTATTTATTTAAGCATCATATAATTCAGTAAGTTAAATCTTATTAATAAATAGTAGGACAATTATCTTAACATACAACTAAATATTAGATGCCAGAATATGTTAAAAAAGTTAGAATAGAATATGAAGATAAATTGAGAACAATATCATTTTAATAAAAATATGATGAATCCAACAATAAATATAAGCAATATCAAATAACAAATAAGAAATCTTCATCTAGAGCTGTCTCCACTTATAATCAATCTCTTTTACCTTAAGATAGATTATTCTCTCCTAGATTATCCAATGCAACCTTATCTTAAAGGACTAGTCTCTATTAATTGGATAATCATATGGATTAATTAAAGTAAATATATATATAATAGATTATATAGATAATAATTATATACAACAGAATTGAAGAAAGATACAGTAGATGATTTATTGTTAACTAGACCATAAATTAAATCTGAATATATATTATAAAAAAAGAAGAATGATAATAAATAAACTGAATCAATTTAACCTATTAAAAATATAAGCAAAAAGAAATTTGTATCTAATAGATTAATTCCACGTATTTTAAATAAATAAAGTACTTAAATAATCCATATTAAATCTGATTCTCAATAAAGTGAATAAAAAATACATAAGTTGCAAACCATCTAAGATTAAAATTTCCAATAATAAATGGATGATTTGCATGTTCCATCTACAGAATCTCTTTTAATCTAATAATAATAATAATAATAAACATAATAGTTGCCAATACTTTAAAATGTCTTAACAGAAATGTCAGAATAAAGTGAGAATCATTTTGCTGATTTACTAAAGAAATATACAATGGATTAGTTAAATTTGGCAGCTTCTATCATTTAATCTTGTTATAGAAGATATAGTAAGATTATAAAGAAGATAAAATCTATATAAACTATTGATTTAACTCCTATTAATCTTCATAGACCAAATAATGCTACATAAATTAGTGAAAAATTTGATAGTTAATAGACAGGAAAGAATCAAATGAAATTATCTGTTAAAGAAATGAAGAATTCAGTAAGGAGAAGAAACTTTGGATTTGATTCTATTGTTAGAGAAATCAAAAATACTGATTCTGAATAAAGTAGTTCTAATAAAGCCAAAACTGTATGTTACATAATTATCATAGTTAGTTTAAATTATTAAAGAATTTTATAATTTACCTGAATCAGAATTATATTTCTTATCTAAATTATTTTTTGATTCAGAAATTAAAATATGGAAACTTTCCAATATATGGGTCAGAGCATTTAGTGATGCAAACTCTTAAAATTAAGATTCAGAAGATGATGATGAAGTAATATAAAATGATATATCTCCAAGTGAAATTTGTATATATATTTAATAAATTTCAATTAGAAAATTAACTGCAATACATAATGAATATATTTACCGATGTTTAATCAATTAAAGCATTACAATTAATAGTCTATTTTAGATTATCTAATGATAAATAACAATATACACTTAATTTCAAAATTAATAGTTTTGCTAGTTATTTGGATGAATATTAAAGATGGTTTTCCAAAGATCGTCTATAAAATTTTAATGGTTTATTAAATATTTATTGTAAATAATAAGCATTACATTAATCTAATAAATGTAGAGCAATTGTATTTTCAAGTATTGATAATGCACATGAAATAGTAAGTAAACTTTTATATGCTTTAAAAAATCATTATTATTTGATTAGATCAGTAGTTGGTTACAAAATAGTTTCAATGAAAGATGTAATATAACATTAATTATAACATGATATTATTGATATAAGATCTTATTACAAAAATAAATAAATTGAGAAGGAAAACAAAAGATAAATGATTTTAAGATAATTGAAAGTGGAACCAATCAAAATTATTGAACGTCAAACTTAAGAATTATCAACTATATCATCATCATCTAGACACAGAAGACAATAACTCTTTAATGATGAAATTAAGTAATCTCATGAATAGAGTATAGTAATTTAAGAATCTGATGATAATAAATCTGAATATTCTAAAGGAGGAATCACATCTTAATCTCCAACTGATTAAAAACATTTTTCTAATAATTTTAAATCTATTGAGAATATTTCAGAAAAAGATATTATATAAGAAATTCCATTAAGAAATCCTAAAAAATAGTATTCTGTTATTCATAATAGAAATACAATGGCTAGTCCTAGATTTGATTCTATTATATCTTCATAAGCATTAATTCGTAATACTGTTTAAAGAAAAACACATGGTAGTCATTTTTTGGAATTTTCAAAGAAACATAAATTAGATTTAACTAAAAAAGAAGAGTTTAATTATGAACCACCTATTTCCAAATAAAGTTTAGATGATTAAAGTAGAGATAGATCATAATCAGATATATAATTTCTTAATGATTATCTACCTGAATTCTAATTTGCCAATTTAGCTGATTTTGAAGATTATTAACCATAAGAAGGACCTACTATTGAGTTTAAAAATGTATTCAATTATAAATCTACTTACTTTCCACCTAGAGGTTTAATCATTCAACCAGAACCTGAATAATTTCTACCTGAATATCCTGATAAATTTATAATGATGAATGTAACAATAAAGTAAGATAATTGTATTAAAACTGGTTATATTCTCTATGAAGAAGGTTCTACATATTTGATAATTGATAATAAAAATGGGAATATAATTAAACAAATGATTTAAATAGATTTAGGTATTAGATTGCCTAATCGTCAAAAGAAATTGTAAATATTGGAATAATTAAATGAGAAAGAAAGTAGATTTTAGAAACTATCCTTAATTGAAGAATTAAAACAATTGAATTATAGACATACATAAATTATGTTAGATAGATATGTTAAAAGAATTAATCATTATGATGAATTTATACATAATGAAATCCATTAGTAATTATATAGTAATCAAATTCTACCTCCTACTTAAATTAAATATCTTAATACTACTGAAAGAAGAGTTTCATTTGAATTATTATAAGAATAAAATAGAACTGAAACAGAAGAAGGTATGTAATTGAAAATAGAAACTGGTATTAAAGAATCTAATGAAGAAGTAATTGATAACAAATCTTTTCTTACTTATAGATCTAAATTCAATATTAATAAAAATAAATTTTATTATTTTGAAGAGAATCTTAATTTAAAAGTGGAAATCAATTTTAGAGAAGTTAAAATTTTAGACACAAAGCTTTTGTATCTTAGTGATTAATAAGCAAAGTAAGATTTACTTGTACTTAAAAAGAATATGCATGAATTAATAAGACATTAGAAACTTTTATTGAAGATCATTATTTATAATCCTAATCAACATTTATATTATTTTCGTACTATTAAATCAATTTAAGATATTGAGAAGATGCTTCATATTTTCATTAAACCATAATTGATAGGATATTAAATTAAATCATAAGCTAAATTATAAAGGAAATTAATAGGGAGAGCTTTATAATTTAATAGATAATTTATAAGTTTAGAGGAAAGAAATAGAGATAAATTTAGTACTTTAGATTAATTTTTATTAATGTATATAATTGATCCTTTATAATTCATAAATAATGAAAATCATAGATTATTAAAATAAACAATTCTATTTTATTATTTCAAATAATAATTGAAATTGACTTTAATATCTTCAAGTCGTTTAAGATATTTCATGAAAACCTATTTTCATCGTAAAACTTTTAATGCTTAAAGTAAAGTAAGTAATATAGGAAAAGTATTTGTAGAATGTGAAGTATATTAATTTAATGAATTTTATGCTGATTAATAAACCAATGATCATACATATTTTTATTTTTAAATTACTCCTTAAGAAAGTAGAACAAAAATATTTAAATTAGTATTGGATTTTGCTGATATTAAAAGTATTTGTAATAAAGTGACATCACATAATTGTTTTTAAAATAAAGTATTACATGAAATTATTAAAATATTGACTGCTTATTTAGTATGTTATAGAACAAATACTTATCATGGAATCAAAATTCCTTTATCATATATTGCAAGTCAATCTAAATATGATCTTCATAATACTTTTACTGAAGTAACATATGGAAGTAATATTCTAGAAGAATAATAACATGCTAGATCTTCTCATCCAAAATTATCTATTTTAATTAGTGATCCTACTCTTAGAAAAAAGTCTTAAGCATAAATTATGGATGTATAAATTGATAATTTATAAATGCCAGAAGAAGCAAATAAAGTATTAAAAAACACTACTTTGTTAACACCAATATTTAGAGGATAGAAATTTATTTATAAAACTACAAAAATTGTAAATAACATGTATGTCATTATTACTATATCTTATTTATCTCTTAATAAATTTTAAATAGGATTGTATATACCATAAACATGTAGAAATTTCAGTTGTTATATTTCATCAAATGATTTCTAAAATATGAATCCTGTCTTTTTAGAATCTATATTTCCATCATGTTTAGTCACCAAAGAAACTATTGATTAATTTTATATTAATAGATGGAAATTCTCTGAAATGAATAAAATTTATGAAATGGCTGTCAATCATCCAGATGAATTTGAAGATTTTTATAGTGAAATGCGTAGTCAAGCTAGAGCTATTCCTCAATCTGAATTGTAAAAATTAACTGAAAGCAAAGTCTCTATTAATAATGAAGATGAATTCTTAGAAAAACCTTATGATGATACTCCAAAAATACTTGATTCCTTTAGTGATTAAAGTAGATAAAATGGCAGATCTTCAACTTAACCTCCTCTATTTATGAAAAAATAATTCTCTAAGTAATTTTCAGTATAAAATTCTATTGCTCAAACTATGAGATTATCATTACCAACATCATAATTTTAATAGAAAACAGATAAAAGTCTCTTTTATAGAAATAGTCCTCGTGTATCCAATTAAGATAGTTTGGAAAATTTGTATTCAAGTGATAAAGATTTATTTTTTAATTAAATTCTTGTAAGAAAAAATAATCTTGATATGATTTCTACTTTTGAAATAAAAATTTGGGAATCTCTTATAGATAAAGTTAAAATTACTAAAAATCAATAAAATAGATTTATACTCAATCTTGATACATTTAAAGGAGTATTGAGAGAGAATTTATATACATAAGTAGTATATTTAGGTAATGAAGTAAATGCCTTATTTGAAGTATTTGTTGAAAATGTTAAAAAACCTTTTAATATGTTGAAACCATATATACCAATTAGATTAAATGAGAGTTAGAATTTTCAATTGTATTAAAGAATTACTCTTTTTGAACAACCTAAAATAGTAAATTTTAAATTGATGCTAAGGAAAGTATTATACAGTTATTATAATGATGAAAGAAGAAACCTTTAGAATTTAAAATTGAATGATTGTAGTTTAGATCAATATGAATTTATTGAATCTGATATCTAAAAGTGTTCAGTATATATGTTAAATAAATTAAAAAAATAACTAAAATTGAATCCCTTCAAATTTATTGTTTAAGATGTATAAGGAGATGAAAAATGTCCATAAGTAATTAAAGTGAATGCAAATTATGAATAATACTCTTCTTTCAAAGTAAATTATTAATATTTATTATATTAGTCTTATTAATATACATTGTTAAAGAGGATGATATTTATAATGAGGCCTACACAAATCTATATTTCAATATTTTATTAAGAAAAGAAAAAAAAATTTTGGTTATATTTTGAAAGTATGAAAAATTGCAAAAATACAACTATCAAATATCATTTAAAAGAAATTCAAAACTGTATTCCTAATGCAATAGGTCTATTGAATTTGGGATTACATTAAGAATTAGGTAATAGAATATATAGAAGTTTTAAAAACAGACTTTTAGTCTCCACACATTAATTATTATTATGATATTTTTATATATACTAAAATGTTTTAAGATAAATAATTAATTATTCATTATCAACAACTTTTAGGTCTTTTGGAGATCTCAATAATTATTTGATATTTTATAGACATTCTCATAGATGAAATTAATCATAAAATAAATATCTATTTTAGATAATTATATTAAATGAATTAGATAATGTAATAATTATATTTTTTAATTTATGAAAGTTCAAAAGTTATGATACAAGTAGAATCTATTGTTTTTATGAATATTATAAAGAATGTTCATTATTTTTACATTAAGAAAATAGTAAAATTTTATTGATTTAACATAAATATTTTAAAATATATTTATATATTTAATGGAGGAACATCAATTAGTGATTGAATAATTGGAAAGCATGAAGAATTTAAAGTAGTTGTTTCATAAAATGAAAAATGGTAACATTCGTATTGTTGATGGTCTTTCAATTGTGATTTATAAATTGATTAGACAATTCAGACCCTCAAGTTCAGAATATTTAGTACTTCTTCAAGAATTATTTTACCTTTCAATAGATATGTAATTGATTAACATAAGCGATGTAAATATATTTAAAGACAATAGCAAGTACTCAAAGTTTTGCTAAAGAAATTCCCTACAGCTGAAAAAGTTTAGAGATTAAAAGGATATTTGTTGGAAGCCAATTAAGATGATGATAATGCTTCTTTAGTATATGAAAAGATGCTCTCTGAAAATATGATGGATCAAAATACAAGAAAAAGAAAAATAGCATTGTTAAGAGTAATTTATTATTATATTTGTTAAAGAGATAAAATAATATAGATTAGACAATAGCTATGTTAAATAATTTTCTCACTTCATTTCCTAATGATGCCGAAGCATGGCTTGAATTATCTGATATATATTTAGAGCATTTGAATTACTCTAAAGCTTAATTTTGTCTTGAAGAAGTTTTATTACTTAATACTCAGGATTTACATTTAGCAATTAAATTAGCAGAAGTAATATTTTAATATTTAAATTAAAAGATCAATTATTGCAATCAAAATTACACTTAAGCTAAAAATTATTATTGTTTTGTGTTATCTAAAAATCCAAATGAACCAAGATGTTTATGGGGTCTATTGTAAACATTAAGAAAAAAGAAAAGAGAAGGAAATGATAAGGAATTAGGAACAATTGTATTGTAAGCATTATAGAAAATATACAAATAACAACCAATCAAATATCCATTTGAAAAAGTAACCCTAGAAATACAATAGTGAGATAAATAAATAAATTTAGCCTTATCAATATCTTCTAAATTCATCTATCAACTCAAATATGAGATGATTAAATANAGATAAATAATTAATTATTCATTATCAACAACTTTTAGGTCTTTTGGAGATCTCAATAATTATTTGATATTTTATAGACATTCTCATAGATGAAATTAATCATAAAATAAATATCTATTTTAGATAATTATATTAAATGAATTAGATAATGTAATAATTATATTTTTTAATTTATGAAAGTTCAAAAGTTATGATACAAGTAGAATCTATTGTTTTTATGAATATTATAAAGAATGTTCATTATTTTTACATTAAGAAAATAGTAAAATTTTATTGATTTAACATAAATATTTTAAAATATATTTATATATTTAATGGAGGAACATCAATTAGTGATTGAATAATTGGAAAGCATGAAGAATTTAAAGTAGTTGTTTCATAAAATGAAAAATGGTAACATTCGTATTGTTGATGGTCTTTCAATTGTGATTTATAAATTGATTAGACAATTCAGACCCTCAAGTTCAGAATATTTAGTACTTCTTCAAGAATTATTTTACCTTTCAATAGATATGTAATTGATTAACATAAGCGATGTAAATATATTTAAAGACAATAGCAAGTACTCAAAGTTTTGCTAAAGAAATTCCCTACAGCTGAAAAAGTTTAGAGATTAAAAGGATATTTGTTGGAAGCCAATTAAGATGATGATAATGCTTCTTTAGTATATGAAAAGATGCTCTCTGAAAATATGATGGATCAAAATACAAGAAAAAGAAAAATAGCATTGTTAAGAGTAATTTATTATTATATTTGTTAAAGAGATAAAATAATATAGATTAGACAATAGCTATGTTAAATAATTTTCTCACTTCATTTCCTAATGATGCCGAAGCATGGCTTGAATTATCTGATATATATTTAGAGCATTTGAATTACTCTAAAGCTTAATTTTGTCTTGAAGAAGTTTTATTACTTAATACTCAGGATTTACATTTAGCAATTAAATTAGCAGAAGTAATATTTTAATATTTAAATTAAAAGATCAATTATTGCAATCAAAATTACACTTAAGCTAAAAATTATTATTGTTTTGTGTTATCTAAAAATCCAAATGAACCAAGATGTTTATGGGGTCTATTGTAAACATTAAGAAAAAAGAAAAGAGAAGGAAATGATAAGGAATTAGGAACAATTGTATTGTAAGCATTATAGAAAATATACAAATAACAACCAATCAAATATCCATTTGAAAAAGTAACCCTAGAAATACAATAGTGAGATAAATAAATAAATTTAGCCTTATCAATATCTTCTAAATTCATCTATCAACTCAAATATGAGATGATTAAATAATAATAAACTTAAATCTAATCATATTCATATCATCAATCAACATTTCAAAAAAAACCTAAAAATAATTTCAATACTTACTTCATACTTTAATCTCTCTTCAAATATTGTAAAATATCCATTCTCATCTAAATTTCTTAACATTAAAGTATTCCTAATAGATTCTATGCTCATAATAATACCTTTAATGTTGAAGTATCCCTTTACTTATCTTAATTACACTGAACTCTTTCTCCTAATGAATGATTATCTTTTAATTCTTAATTAATTTCAATGATTCAATTTTACTATAAAAATGGTTTCTTTTTAATTATTAATGTCTCCTTAATTTATTTTTTCTTTTTATGTAAATATTAATAAGTTAAGATTTTTTACACAAAAATATTTTTTAGTTCCAATTTGTTTTATAAAATATTGTTTATGATATATATATTCATTAATGAAAGTTTCAGCCTTATGGTGGTACTAATCATGAAACACTTAAACTTTTTTTATATTAGTTGATTTCTTCTTTATTTTATAATGAAAAATATTGTGATTTAATTGTTTTTATCAACATGTATGCAAATTTTGAGTTCAGTTTACTTAACTTTATATTTCATATTATATAATTTAAGCTGGATTAAGTAAAGTCAAATAATTTTCAATTAAAATTTCTTCATCTTTTTCATAAATTTTGCATTCAGTTTGATTTGTGATTATAAATTCATTATCCTTTTATAGGGGAGTTGTTTTACATTAAGTTTAATAAAAAAGAGTTTAATAAATTTTATTAATGTCTTATTCATCAAGATATTCAAGTAGCATATCATCTACGGTGCGTTCTTCTGGAATTGGCGGAGCTACCACAAACACTTCATAATATTCAAGTACCAGTACAACTGAAGTACCCCAAAGAAGCAGCACTCAGCGTAAATCCGTACTGTACTTTATCCATCATTTATATCAAATAGAGTGAAGGCTTAATAGGAGGTTGTGAATGTACCTCCTCCATCAAAGGAACGAAAATGGCTTGGAGAGAAGCCTGAAGTTGTGTGCTTCTTACTTGCTCTAGAAGTAGACAGACTCCAGAGAGAAAACTCAGATCAAAGAACCATTATCAATGAGTTGTAAAGTAACTACTCGAAATTGCAAAGTGAATACAGTACTCTTCAAGAGAAGTACAATCTTGAAGTCTAACAGTTTAAGTAAGAGAAATGAGTAATCTTTTAGGACAACTATTGATTAGCAAACAGTGAGAATTAAGTCATTGGAAGATGAAATCAACCAATACAAATCAAAATTGGGATAAGTGGACAATTCATTGGCCAGTAAGTTATCATAGGCAGAGTAGAGAATTAAGGATTTGGAACGATAATTAAAAGATTAAGAGAGTAAGTACACGTCTGAAATAAATAATTTGAAGTCATCATGGAATACAGAGAAATCTAACTATGAGAGTGAGATAAAGAGATTGAAATTGGAAATTGAGAATTATCTTAATGAGATAAAGAATTTGAAAGGGAATTCATCATCTGAAGTAGATAGATTGAATAAAAGAATTAAGGAATTGGAAGCTTAGATATAAGATTATCTAGTTAAAATTAAGAGTTATGAAACTCAGATATCTGATTATCAAAATAGAATTAGAGAATGGGAAACTAAGGGAAGAGATTATGATTCAAGAATAGCTTAATATCAATCTGAATTAGATTAATTGAAAAATCAATTAAGAGATCGTGATTCAGAAATAGAAAGATATAAACGTGATTTAGATGATTGGAGAAATAAGTACAGTGCTCTAGAAATGTAATTTTCAACTTACAAATCTTCATCTGGAGGTGAGACAGAAAGACTTAATGGTTTATTGAGAGATAGAGAGAATGATATTAATAGATTATAATTAGAGTTGAGAAATACAATTGATGAATGGACTTCAAAATATACAAGTTTAGAAAATTAATATAGATAAGCTTAAAGTGAAATAGATAGATTGAATGGAGTAGTAAGGAATTTAGAAGATGAGATAAATAGATTAAGATAGATTATTGATTAAATGTAAAGAGAGATAGATGATTGGAGATTAAAATATGGAGATTTGGAAGGTAAATATAATACAGCTATCAGAAATTATGAATCTTAAATTAATGATCTTAATTCATAATTGAGATAATATTAATCAGATCTTGATACTTGGAGAAATAGATATGGATAATTAGAGAATGAGAATTCTAATTTGAAGAATAATAATTCAGGATAAGACAATTTTATTAAGGAATAGGAAAATATCATTAGAAGATTAGAATCAGATTTATAAAGAGCAGAAGATATAATTGCTTAAAAGGATTAAGAGTTGAATAGATTAGCTAATGATCTTTCTAATGCAGAATCTAGAATAAGAGAATTAGAATTCTTAATTTAATAATTATAAGCATAAATTGATGATTATCGTAAGGAAATAGAGAAATTATAATAAATGCTATAAGAAAGAGATCATAGTCTTGATATGGCTGAAAAGGATTTAGAAGAAGCAGATAGAAAGATTCAATAATAAGAAAATGAAATAAATACATTAAATGAAGAATTAAAAGATTACAGATAGAATTATGATTAAGTTTTAAAGGAAAATGAATTATTAGAAAAAAAGATAGGTGATCTTGAATCTAAAACAGTATTTTTGGCTTAAGAAATTGATAGATTGAAACTTATACTTGAAAAAAGAAATAAAGAAATTGAAGATTTAAAGAGTTAGATTTTAAAATTGAAAGCTGAAATTACTATATTTGAGAAATAAATCACAGAATTTTAATAGAAATTAGATGAAAAATTAAAGGATTATGATGATTTAAATAAGAAATTAATAGAAAGAGTATTAGAAGTTTAATAATTAAATTCTTAAATATTGATTTTGAATTAATAACTTGTTTAATTATAATCAGTAAATGAGAAATGTAAGAATTATGAAGATTAAATAAAAGATTATCTTAGATAATTGGATGAATTAACAAGATAATTGAATAAATCTTAATAGGAAATTAATATTTTATAAGGATTTAAAGATAGATTACCTGAGGCAGATAGAAAGATATAAGAATTATTGAAAGAAATTGATCGTTTATAATAATTATATAAGGAAAAGGTAACTGAAAATGATGTATTATCATAAAAATTTAGTACAAGTGAAGTTGAATTAAATAGAATTAGATTGATTGAAAAGTAATTTAATGATTTTAAGAAATAAACATAAACTACTGAATAAGAATTTACAAGAATTAAATAAACATTTGAATAAAAAGGTAATGAAAGTGATAAATTAAAATAAACTATTGCAGGATTAGAATAATAATTATAAGATAAAAAAGTATTAATGGATAAATTAAAAGTGCTTGAATAACAATTAGGTATCATTAATTATATTATATATTAGCTTAAACTCAAAAAGATTTAGCAAATTTAACTAAAGATAGAGATAAGAAAGATTAAGAATTGTAAAAATTAAAAGATTAAATTGCTGTATTACAAAGTTCATTGAAAACAAAAGAAGATTAATTTAATTAATTAAAATAATAATTTGATTAGAATGTAAATGAATTATCAAAACTTAAATAAACATAAGGATAATTGGAAGCAAAAGTATCATAAATTGGATTAATGAATGATAAATGGACAAGTTCAGAAAAATAGAATAAATAATTATAAACAGACTTAGATAAATTAAAGAAAGATTTTGAATTAAGAACTAAAGAAAGAGAATAATTGAAATTGGATAAAGTTTAATTGGAAAATGATTTGTTAGCATTCAAATCATAGGTTAGAAAATGAATATTAAATATAAAATAATAATAATAAAAAATATACATCATATATTTACATTAAATTCATAATAATTGAGTTTTTGAGAAATCTTATAATTATTATAATATCTATATTCTTGAAATTAATTCTATATAAGTCTTTTTGGAAAGTTTCATAAAGAAATATTATTTTTGCAAAGTTTTATATCCTAAATATAAAAGTAGAGATTCAAAAAAATACAAAACTATCCAATTAGACTAATTTTTTTTATTTTTGTAATTAATTAAACAATTAGTTCATTTAATTTATTTAATAACCATATAATCATATAAGATTTCATAATGAAATAAAAAACAATTAAAATATGATTAAATAAATAACTAAATATAGAGAATAATTACTATTTCAAAATTCCTAAAAATTAAATTTAACACAATTAAATATTAATATAAATTAGATAATCACAATATTAACAATTGGGATATTTATATGAAATTAATTCTATATATATATATATTCATTATTTTGCTTTGATATCTAGTATTTGTTAAAATTTAGATTCTTTAGGCTTTCCATATTTTTATTCAAATTCTTTTGCTTTTAATCTTTGAGCATCTTCTAATTTTTATTATAAAAATTATTAAGAAGACTTACTTTATTGTAATTTTCCCATTAATAGTGTTTCTTGTTATTCCAAATAATTCATTAAACTTTCTTAATCCATCATAGATTTAGATAATTGATTCTTTACTTTATTTTACTCTTATTCAAATTTCTTTACTCTCTCATCCCAATATATTTAATAATTGTATTTAGATTAAAATTCATTTAATTAGACTTTATTCCTATTTGTTCTCCTTTCCTAATACATTTATTGCTTCTGTTCTTCTATCGATTTTCTATGAAGACTACTAATCTTCTTCATATATTTTGCTTGTTCCTCACGTTCTTTTTCAACCTGAGCTTTGGCTGTTTTAATTGCTTTATTGAGTTAGAACCTCTTATTAAAATTATCATCCTTTTTTCTTTATTCACTATTTTGATCATAAAGAGATTCCTTAGCTGATTTTAACTATAAATAATTGTTTTATGCTCAAATTACTTCATCTACTATTTCGTCATGAATCTTTTTTTTCTTATATACAATTTCTAATTTTTTATTTGGAGGTCTCAATAATTGTTATTATTTAATAAGCATATTGACTCTCCCCATTAATTATTCTATTTATCTCTGCTATTCAACATTCTATTATTTTAATGCCAAAATAGTAGGGTCTTAATAATTCATATTTAAAAATAAAAATTAATTACTCAATAAATACAAGAACTAAACTCTTACTCTCCCAATATCATTTCAATAAAAATATATCACTGAATTTATTGTTATTTTCATTTTATTTTTATAATTAAGTTTTGTGCATAAATAACTAAATACTTATTAACTAGTTGGATGAGTATAGAGTAATTTATTATATAGAATAAATTACAAAATACTAAAGATTAATTTCAAATCTAATAAGCATCTATTAATCAATCTATTTAATTTGGATCAAATATTTAGAAATTTTAACAATACTCTTAAATCTAGATACTTAGCATATATAGAATGGCTGTACAACATTATTAATTGATTAAAAATTCAAATATTATCATAATATCCTTTGCATTAATTATATACTTTTAAGTTTAATAAAAAAGGTTTAGTAGAGAAAAAGGTTTAGAGAATTTTATTTCTAAAACGTTTTACTTACTTTGAACTTAATGAATGAATGTCATCACATTATAGAAAGGAAGCGATGTTAAAAAAAAGAATTTCAATTCATTAATAGAGTAAATAGAATTAGATAATAAATTTTATGTGGGAACAAATACAAATTTTTGTATTAATAAGAATTTTGGGATAAAGAGAGAGAGGAGAAGTGAATGTTTTTAATATAGAATTGAAAAAATAAAGAAATTAATTTATAAGAATTCAGAAAAAAGAGTGTAGGATGATTAATATTAGAGATGCTAGGATAAGAAATATTTGTTGAATAAGAATATTAGATTATATGTTAATGAGAAATAAGGAGATAGATAATTAGAATGGATGAAATATTTTATCAATAAATTCTTGAATATGTAAAGAAATGAAAAGAGATTTAAACAAAGGTTTAAGAATTCAATAATAAAAGTTGAACAATGGATAGTCTCTTAAGGATGTAGGTAAATTCTGTTTTGATTACATCAAAATTAAGTAAAGTTCCATTTATATCAATATGGTTATATAAGATCGAACTTTGTCAATTTGAATAGATTAGATGAGTATAAAAAATTGGAAATAAATTAAAAAATGACAAAAATTTAGAATTAATTTAAATATCAAAAATTGGGTTAAATGATGATTTTCCTTAATGGGATTTATTAAATAATAATAATAAAAAGTAATTTTATATTTAAGTGATTGGAATGGATTAAAATCATCTAAAATTAAACTTTAGTCAATTCATTGTAGAGAAACAAAATTCATATACTGATGATTATAAACTAGGAGTAATTTGAATATATAAATAAAGGGTGTATTGGGTGTAGGAGCATTTTCATAAGTAAGAAAAGTCACACATCGTAAAACAAGAACAATTCGTGCAATGAAAGTATGATTAGAAATAAATTTGTAGGTAATCAGCAAATCAAGATTATCAACAGCAGAATTATAATAAAAGTTTATAAATGAAATAAATGTTTATAAGTAATTAGACCATCCACACATACTTAAACTATATGAATTTTATCAGGATGAGAAAAACTATTACATTATCATCGAATTATGTACAGGGTATGAGATACCATATGAATTAGTGGTGAATTATTTGATAAGATAATAGAAAAAGGAAGTTTTTCTGAAAAGGAAGCTTCTTACATAATGAAATAAATAATGTCAGCAATACTTTATGCTCATAATTAAAATATTGTTCATAGAGATTTGAAACCAGAAAATGTGTTATTAGATATAACTAGTTAAGGAAATTATAATGTAAAAGTAGTTGATTGGGGAACTGCTAAAATCTTTTCACCTAACTAATAAATAAATGAAAAATTTGGAACTCTTTATTATATGGCTCCAGAGGTTTTGAGACGTAATTATAATGAAAAATGTGATATTTGGTCTTGTGGAGTAATATTATATATTCTTTTATCTGGTACACCTCCATTTAATGGTAGAACAGATGCAGAGATTTAAAAAAGTATTTTGAATGGGAAATATTCATTAGAAGTAATGATGTATTTTTATTTGGATAGGGTGAAGTATGGGATATAGTTAGTTAACAAGCAAAAGATTTAGTTACAAAAATGTTATAATATGATGTTTAAAAGAGAATTAATGCAAAATAAGTGTTGGAACATAATTGGTTTTAATAATAACATTAAGAAAAGTTGGATAAATAAGTTGTATAAGGTAGATTAAAGAATTTAATGAANACATCAAAATTAAGTAAAGTTCCATTTATATCAATATGGTTATATAAGATCGAACTTTGTCAATTTGAATAGATTAGATGAGTATAAAAAATTGGAAATAAATTAAAAAATGACAAAAATTTAGAATTAATTTAAATATCAAAAATTGGGTTAAATGATGATTTTCCTTAATGGGATTTATTAAATAATAATAATAAAAAGTAATTTTATATTTAAGTGATTGGAATGGATTAAAATCATCTAAAATTAAACTTTAGTCAATTCATTGTAGAGAAACAAAATTCATATACTGATGATTATAAACTAGGAGTAATTTGAATATATAAATAAAGGGTGTATTGGGTGTAGGAGCATTTTCATAAGTAAGAAAAGTCACACATCGTAAAACAAGAACAATTCGTGCAATGAAAGTATGATTAGAAATAAATTTGTAGGTAATCAGCAAATCAAGATTATCAACAGCAGAATTATAATAAAAGTTTATAAATGAAATAAATGTTTATAAGTAATTAGACCATCCACACATACTTAAACTATATGAATTTTATCAGGATGAGAAAAACTATTACATTATCATCGAATTATGTACAGGGTATGAGATACCATATGAATTAGTGGTGAATTATTTGATAAGATAATAGAAAAAGGAAGTTTTTCTGAAAAGGAAGCTTCTTACATAATGAAATAAATAATGTCAGCAATACTTTATGCTCATAATTAAAATATTGTTCATAGAGATTTGAAACCAGAAAATGTGTTATTAGATATAACTAGTTAAGGAAATTATAATGTAAAAGTAGTTGATTGGGGAACTGCTAAAATCTTTTCACCTAACTAATAAATAAATGAAAAATTTGGAACTCTTTATTATATGGCTCCAGAGGTTTTGAGACGTAATTATAATGAAAAATGTGATATTTGGTCTTGTGGAGTAATATTATATATTCTTTTATCTGGTACACCTCCATTTAATGGTAGAACAGATGCAGAGATTTAAAAAAGTATTTTGAATGGGAAATATTCATTAGAAGTAATGATGTATTTTTATTTGGATAGGGTGAAGTATGGGATATAGTTAGTTAACAAGCAAAAGATTTAGTTACAAAAATGTTATAATATGATGTTTAAAAGAGAATTAATGCAAAATAAGTGTTGGAACATAATTGGTTTTAATAATAACATTAAGAAAAGTTGGATAAATAAGTTGTATAAGGTAGATTAAAGAATTTAATGAATTTCAGAGCAGAGTAAAAATTACAATAAGCAACATTGATATTTATTGGAACCACAATGATTTCAAAGGAAGAAAAAAATTAATTAGTAGTTATATCATTATTAAAAAGATGTAAGCTTTTAAAGAGATGGATTAAAATGGAGATGGAATCCTGTCTAAGGAGGAAATATTAGAGACATATAAAAAATATATGGATGATGAAACAGCATTATAAGAGGTATAAAAAATAATGGAATTGGTTGATATGGATGGATCAGGAACTATTGATTACACTGAATTTATAATAGCATCTATGGATAGAAGAAAAGCAATGTAAAAAGAAAAATTGAAAGAAGTAATAATAATATTCTTATAATAAAAAAAGGCATTTTAAATATTTGATAAAGATGGAAATGGATTTATATCAGAACTTGAAATAAAAGAAGTATTAGGACCATCATTAACTGATATTGATGAGAAATATTGGTTGGATATGATAAAGGAAATAGATAAAAATGGTGATGGTTAAATTAGTTTTGAAGAATTTTGTGAGATGATGATGAAAATCGTTTAATGATATAAACTAAATTCATCTTTACAAAAACCTTTCTATCATTGCTTTTATCATCTCATTCATTTATGTATGATATGATATAGCACGATTTCCTATTTATAATGCTTATTCATATTATTTTTCAGCTATTTCTAATTAATAGCTATTTTAAGGTAAGTCCATCATTTGTATCCAAATAGTTTAATGAAATTCTTAAAATAAAATAATTATTTTACAATCTAATCTACTTAATAAATTAATATATTATTCTTTTGCATTTAAATGAGTATTTTTAGATTCTGTAAAAAAGAGTTCCTTATCTAATAAATCAAAAGAAGATTCAATTTAATCATTCCTCATTTTAATAAGATATTCTGATATTACACTACTCATTACACTAAGTAATTGAATTGCTTCTTATTTCTTATTAGAATTTTATTTTTCTCTGAAAAGTTTATCAACACTCTTCATAAAGAAATCTACTTCTTAACTTTATATCTATTTAAAAGAACCTATCATAATCTTTGATTCCAATAATTCTAAGGTTTTATAAATGATTTATTCATCATTCTATTCCAAAACTAATTATTATTGATTAATATACCTTCTTAGATTTTCTTATGTAAATAATTCAATTCTTCAAATCTTTAACTTATATCTTCTTATTATTATTAACGTTTAAGTTTAGCCAGTTCTTTTATATCCCCTTCAATTAATTTTTCCTAAATTTTAATTATATATTTACTTTATCTGCTATTATACGTTTTATTTTTTCTACAACTTCTGGAAATGTTTCCCTTAAAAACAATTTTATATCTTCCTATTCATTTTTATTAAATGTCTATTATAATTTAAAAGAATTTATAAACTAGAATATGATCTTTTTATGTTTACATCTTAATAATGTTCTTTGTAAATTACTAGACTTTCTTCTTCAAATTCAAGATTCTCTTTTGATCTGATTTCTAATTTCTCTAATGCTGTGTAATATTCCAATTAAGATAAGAATTCCTTTATTGCATTCATTTTATTATATAAGTCCATCAAGTATTACTCTTGTTTATGCACAAATGCAAATGCATTTATTAATAGTAGTATAATTAATAACATAATTAATAATGAATAAACAAATTCCTTGTTTCTTATATAAAATATATGCTCATTTAAAGGTATCACTCATATAAAACTCAAATTATGATGAAATTAATAATTTAAAATGGATTTTAAGTTAAAAAGACATTAATATTTTGAAGAATTATTTTAAGGATAAGAATTATGTTTAGATAACACTTACATTTAAGAACTTAAATTATATATTTATGATTTTCATTCAATATTAAAGTGTTCTTTTAGATATAATCTAAAAAATAACAAAATTAAAATAACAATATATAATTTGAATTATTTTATAATAATGATTTANAAACTAAATTCATCTTTACAAAAACCTTTCTATCATTGCTTTTATCATCTCATTCATTTATGTATGATATGATATAGCACGATTTCCTATTTATAATGCTTATTCATATTATTTTTCAGCTATTTCTAATTAATAGCTATTTTAAGGTAAGTCCATCATTTGTATCCAAATAGTTTAATGAAATTCTTAAAATAAAATAATTATTTTACAATCTAATCTACTTAATAAATTAATATATTATTCTTTTGCATTTAAATGAGTATTTTTAGATTCTGTAAAAAAGAGTTCCTTATCTAATAAATCAAAAGAAGATTCAATTTAATCATTCCTCATTTTAATAAGATATTCTGATATTACACTACTCATTACACTAAGTAATTGAATTGCTTCTTATTTCTTATTAGAATTTTATTTTTCTCTGAAAAGTTTATCAACACTCTTCATAAAGAAATCTACTTCTTAACTTTATATCTATTTAAAAGAACCTATCATAATCTTTGATTCCAATAATTCTAAGGTTTTATAAATGATTTATTCATCATTCTATTCCAAAACTAATTATTATTGATTAATATACCTTCTTAGATTTTCTTATGTAAATAATTCAATTCTTCAAATCTTTAACTTATATCTTCTTATTATTATTAACGTTTAAGTTTAGCCAGTTCTTTTATATCCCCTTCAATTAATTTTTCCTAAATTTTAATTATATATTTACTTTATCTGCTATTATACGTTTTATTTTTTCTACAACTTCTGGAAATGTTTCCCTTAAAAACAATTTTATATCTTCCTATTCATTTTTATTAAATGTCTATTATAATTTAAAAGAATTTATAAACTAGAATATGATCTTTTTATGTTTACATCTTAATAATGTTCTTTGTAAATTACTAGACTTTCTTCTTCAAATTCAAGATTCTCTTTTGATCTGATTTCTAATTTCTCTAATGCTGTGTAATATTCCAATTAAGATAAGAATTCCTTTATTGCATTCATTTTATTATATAAGTCCATCAAGTATTACTCTTGTTTATGCACAAATGCAAATGCATTTATTAATAGTAGTATAATTAATAACATAATTAATAATGAATAAACAAATTCCTTGTTTCTTATATAAAATATATGCTCATTTAAAGGTATCACTCATATAAAACTCAAATTATGATGAAATTAATAATTTAAAATGGATTTTAAGTTAAAAAGACATTAATATTTTGAAGAATTATTTTAAGGATAAGAATTATGTTTAGATAACACTTACATTTAAGAACTTAAATTATATATTTATGATTTTCATTCAATATTAAAGTGTTCTTTTAGATATAATCTAAAAAATAACAAAATTAAAATAACAATATATAATTTGAATTATTTTATAATAATGATTTATTTCAAAAAACAGAACATGATGTAATTGTTATGTCTGGGGGAGATGCAGGCATATAAACTACAATTTAAACATTTATTATTTAATCTCCATTTTTCAACTAAACTGAAATATAGTAATTGCTTCCATTCACAATCTATTATTCCACATCTATTATTTTATCCCATTTATATCCAGACATTCCATCACAAGATGCTAATTATTATATAAATAATTCAAACTTTCAAAATGTTCTTTAGCATATGTTATTGCCTATCTCAATCCTTCATCATTTTAATCTGGCTTAAATCTACCTCCAGCCATTGGTCTATATTCTCTACATATAACACTTGATAATACTATTAATAATATCAATAATTTCATTAAAATATATAATATGATAAATAAGATCTTTTAAAATATATATATATATGAATGATAAGCTAATTAACAATATTCACAAATCAATTTTCACAAAATCAGGTAATGATTCTCCTAAATTTTTAAATTTGAGATCTCCACTGATCAATTTTTCTAAAGTTCTCTCTAAAATAATTATAATTTAATCAATTTACATATTGCTTCAAATGTCATTTCACCATCATGAATAGCAAATCTCTTTCTTTTACTTGGATTCAATAAAACTATTTTTGGTTCACCTTAAAATTCTAATGCTTAACCCCACTATAATAATTATAACTTAATAGAATTACTTTTGATTCTGTCTTAACATCTAACCACATAAATTTAAAAACTGTTCCTCTATTAATATGTCTCTCATATTATTAATTCAATTTCTTTAATTCATCTACTAATTCATTATTTCTATAAAATATATTAATATAAATTACGGTTTATCTCCATTATTCATTAAAATTACACAAATAACACTTTCAACTTTTAAGCATATATCATTTGCAGATCTTTAATGTAATTATGGAACAACTTGCATCATCCATTCTTTTGTTGCAGCACTATCAGCAGATGATCCTCCTCCTGGTACAAATACTTCACTGTGAACATTCAAAAAATCAAACATAGGTTTAAATTTATATTCTCCTGTATATGGATATGGTTTTTTTTCATTAGTTTTTATAAGTAATAATTTAGGGAATGCTTTGATATTGTATCTATCTAATAATGCCTTTTCTGATGATCTCACTATACCAAATGATAATTTTTTCTATTTAACATTATATATATTTATATACCTCAAATTCTACACTTAATCCTTTATAAACAAGTGGAAATCCTTTCTTTTCACTAAATAATACTACTTTAGGAACTGTAGGATTCTCATTAATAAATGTATTGATGTTAGATTCATTAATCTCAATAATATTGTTATGGATGTATTTTGTAGCCAATTTCAAGATTCCATCAATTTCAAGAGGACCCTCATAATCAATTGCAGGAACAGGATATGGAGGATATACTCTAAATGTAGGGAATTTTGAGACACTCTCTTTCTAACAAATCTTTTCAGCTTCGTCACAATCACATGAGGCTATTCTAAATATTCCTTTATATTCATTTGTAAATTCATCATATTTTGGTGCAAATGATCTACTTTCTCCATCTACCAATAAAATTCGCATATATACCTGAATATTTATAGAAATGAACTATAGTAACATATTTAGTTGTTTGTCTTATCTTGTTAATTTATTTTTCAAAATTTATTTCATTTACAGGAGTGACATATGATTTTTTTACATCATACAATTATTTTGCAAATGTGCAAGAGAGTAAGATGACAACCAATATGCTTGTCTTCATTAATTATTTTTTTATTTTATTAATTCCACGTAATAATATAATTTTTAATCTCAAAAGAACATTCTATCGGAAAATTTGTAAAATAATTACAAAATATTATATTAATATTTTTTTCACTTTAACTACACTTAAAGTATTAATTCTGATTTAATAAAGTAATTCTTATTAATCATATTTATATTAATTATAAATTGAATATAAAATAATACATGATTAAACAAATAAATATATTTTTTTCATTTTACTATGAATAATTATATAAATAAATTGAATGAATTTTTTAATGATATTAAATAGATCATAAAATAATAGAAAATTATTTTGAACTTAATTTAAACTATTAAGTATATATATATAATATAAATTTAAATAAAAAATAACATTTGTTGAATATTTAGTATATTGAATATTTAAATATACTTTATTTAAGTAATAGTATTAATGAGATTATTATAAAGATGAATGCGATAATTAATATCAAATTCATTATTCCAGTTAATTCAATTTATATTTATTAAATAAAATGAATAAATCATTACTACAATCACCAATCAAACCATAACATCGAAAGATTATTTCCTAATAATAAAGCAATAGACCATTTAGATTATTTGATAAAATGTCTCTTTTTACAAAGCATAGAATACCATTAGTTGAAGAAATTCCATAATTAAGTGAAAGATAATCAAGAAGATTTAAAAAGTACTTTTCAACAACAATAAGAAATTCTAGCTGCAATTGTATTAATTGTGGTAAGAACAATTTATTTATAAAAAAGACATTCCAGTTATTTCCATTCGAAAGCAAGTAAATTGAATTCATTTTATACATATTAGCTTTAATCGAAGGAAGAGACTATACAAAAAGTTCAGAAAATATATTCATTGTGTTTTATTCATGATTAGATATAAAATTGTCTAAAAAATAAGAGATCGACAAAGAAATAAAATGAAAAAAGCCATTAATTAAAATGTGCATATCCATAAACCTTCTGCTGTAGCTAATTTACTTGCTGAAGGAATTAAGTAATTGTTATTATTTAAATTAAAGATAATTGAAACAACAATAATAACATCATATTGAAGTATTACATGAACATGATTCAGATGAAGAATTTTATCAATTTAAACCTAAGATGCATTAGAATCGTAAATCCTTTGCACATTTTCTATCTTCTCCTAAGGGATAAAAAAAGTTAGAAAGAGTCTATTATGTTAAATAAGTCAATAGACCTATTAGTTAATATATTGCAAATCGTCCTAAACCAAATACAACTCAATGTTCTCCAAAATCTATCTTGCCATAATTGAGTTCTTTGTATGATTTCAAAAATTCAATCTCTGTCAGATAATTGAAAAAATTCTGATTATAACAATTATTTTTATAATAACCTAAGAAAAAAATTGTTTTTATTATTTAAATATTACAAATAACAAATGAGAACATATAATGATTATTCTTACTCTCGTCCCTTAGATGCCAATTTTGATTTAAAATCATATCGTTCTCACGTTAAAGATAGATTGAATTTGAGTTTGAATAATGATTTGAATCAATCAAACTTTAATTCTGTAAAGTAAGAATTTATCTCTAAAGAAAAGAAAGGAAAATCATTAAGGAGTGCCATCTTTTGATAATTTGTAAGCAAGAATTCGAGATTTATCTTAATCACGTATGACAACTTTAAATTATAATTCTAACGATGATTATACTCCTTAAAAGAATCTCTATTCTCCTCATAGAGCATATGGAATGAAATAAATGTAATTATTATTAAACTAATATCTTAAGAATTTCAAGTAATTTAGGTTAGAATCTTGTGATCAATTCAAATGAAAAATAATCTCAAAATTCGAAATCTCAATCTTCATAAAGAAAACTATTTTAAAGACCAAATGATAATCTATAATTATCATTAAAAGGATCATAGAAAAAATAAGGAAGACTATTGTCTGATGCAGTACAAATAAATGAAATTGTAGCATTGCGAAATAAGATTGAATCATCATTAGTTAGTAGATCATCATTAACTTCGACGTATAAAATAATATTAAATATATATAGTTATATAAGTGAGTTAGTGAAATTGGCTTAAGCAATTACCACATCTCTAAAATAAGAATGAAAAATATAAATTGCATATGGATTCTTTTCATAAGAAAATAATATATATATAATATATCTATAACATTATAAGGGATATTAAATCTTGTCATATCTCATATTCTTCCCAAGAGTTTTCTTCTTCAAGAATTTCTTCAACTGGTCTTGGATCCTCATAAAATAATTCTTCCCATGTCATTGCATATCTATATTTATCTACATAAAAATTAATCTATATCTTATACCTTTCAATGCATCTTGCAATAATTTCTTTCTGCTTCTCTCCAATGTTGGTTTGTACCAAACTCCATATCCCCAATTTCTATATAGCATTTATATAAGAATTACACCTCTTATTGACTTCTGCTTATGCTACTAGTTCAGCCTCTGTAAATTGTCTTTGTTTATAATAAGCCCATTTTCCAAAGAAATAATATCTGCCTCCATAGAATGCTGTAAATGCAAATGCTCCCAAAACAACAAACTTGATGATATTTAAACAAAAATACAGGTCTGATTCTTCTTAACCACCATGCATTGGTTTCCCAAACAAAATTTGTCCACTAATAAACCATTTTTATATTAATAATAATATATTATCATCTGTGTCCTTTTGGTGGTAATTATTATGCTGATCTTATTGGTCTCACAGAATTAGATTATTATGATTAATTATCCAACTATTTCATTGATTTTTGAATTTGTTTATTCAATCTCAAATTTAATTCTTAATCTTCTTAACTATCCTCTGCTTCTTCATCATATAAATTGTGTTATTCATAAAATTCTCTATCCTCTTTACTAATTTTCTTATTCTATTTCTTTTCTTCAAATAATATTTCCCCTATATCCTATTCTTCTAATGTGTAATGCTACAATAATTATTATTCATCAAATTATCTCATTGTATTTGAATATTTTTTAGCTGATTATGGTAATTTTGGTAATACTTATTGAGTATTTGAACCATATTAAGGAGCTGCTGATTAAATATCTCTTTTTTTGGCATCAATTTTAGGTTTAACTGCCTTATATTTAGTAGTTTCTTTATATTTATTGAAATCAATCATTTGATTTAATTCATGTTTTGTACATTTTGGAGAGTAAGCTTCTATTTCTTTTACTTACTCTTCAAATGTATTATGCATATTAACATACTAAGGATCAAATATTTCCATCCATTCAGGAGGAAAGGGATTGCAATTATAATAATTGTCATCTGGAAAGTATACATTATTATATTTATATAGATTCAATTTACCAGTATTATATTAACCATCACAAAACTAATGTAATAAACAATAAATACCAATCCAACTTATAGATTTAATATGCAATAATGACCATTTGCAAAAAATAGTAAAACTTAAGCTCTATGTCTTTGACCTCCCATTTATGAATTTTTAAAGTGATGTATTGTTTTAGTAGATCCTTCTGCAACATAATTAACCCATTCTGAACCTTAACATAATCTCATTTTAATTTCTGTTTCTGATAAGAACTTTTCTATATCTGTAGTTTCACTAAAAAAGTAATGTACTCTTATAACATTCAATTTTAAATTTTCATCATTAATTTATGCAAATTAATCATCTATTTATCCTTCTGGTGCATCAATAGAATCTGATCTTTCAATACCACTAAATCTAAGTTATTTTTATTATGATTATGATGTTTATTATTTATTTGATTTTAAAGTTTAATAATTATCATCTTTTATGATATGTGTTTTAAATGATGATTTTGATTGATGTAAACGATATTGTAATACAATATTTTTTAGATCTCCAACAGGATTACCATTTAAATCTATTAATCTCTTACCTTATAAATCAACCATTTCTAAATAAAAGAGTAATCTCCATTAATATAATTATTCATTCAATAAAGCTGGTCTATGTTTTGGTTTACTATCCATAGGAACTCTTATGATAGCATCTCCTAATGGAATATTTTAAGCTATAGCAAATTTTTATTCAATTTCAACTAATTCATGTTCTCCAACAATTAACATATAACATACATCACATACTCTACAAGGTCTGGTAGATAAATGAGATACTTTTATATTTGTCAATTATTTATTTCTCTTTTTTAAATGTTAAACTAATTCCCATAATAATTTATAAGTAAGTGTTTTACTAGCATCATCTTTCTTAAATATGATACCACACAATTTACAATAAACTGAACAAGTCAATTAATCAAGTGTTTTCTTTCCTTATCCTACTCCTTGAATTTCACTCATGGAAATAGCATTTTCCATTATTAATTATTTACAATTGAATAACCAGATTCTACCTTCTGGATCTTATAGAAAATCAAAGACACCTGTTTTTATTCTAACAGGATAATTCTTCTCTAAATATGAGACAATCTAATCACAAACCTTTTCATATTCATATAATCCAACTCCCTTTATTTATTAAATAGTAAATGAATTTTATTGTTCTGTATTGATTGTAGTTTTGTTAGTTATTGATTTTTTGGGATTTGGATCATATAATTCCATTACATTCATTATTCGATAACCATAATTAGCATGAGATGATTTTGAATTCTTAGTATAGAATACAAGTCGAACAATAGTAGCTTTCATTACTCTTGATATAACGAATCGCTATTCTAATTTATTGTTATCTAATTAAACTTTTCTTTCTTTTTATTATCTGAATGTATATACAGCTTTAGACATATTCCAATCCTATCCAGTTTGACCTCTACTTATTATATATGGACTATCCTAATTCTCAAATACATTAGTTCTCTTTTCAAATCTATCATCTTTTACATGACGTTTCAAATATTCTTCATGATATTAATGAACCTAATTTAATTGATTAATACTTTATTCTCAAAATCTTAATATCCTATATCTGTTTTTCTCATCAATTATCCTGTAATTGGATCTGTATACATTAAAATGTATGTTTATTCAAAACACATTATACTTTCAGGAATGTTGACTCTTATTTATTCAGTTGGTAATTTTCCTAAAGCTAAAGCCTTATAGAAAAATATTCCTATAAAAGGTTAATGAATTTAAATTAACCTGGTTTTATTGGCCATTTTTGATAATAATCATCATTAGGAGGATTGAATAGAATTTTATTCAAAATCTATTACCAATGTCTTTCTTTCTTCTCTGCTTCAGTTTCTACTTTCGGAGGACTCAGTTATACAGGTTTCTTTTGAGTTATTTAAGCCTCAGTCAATAAAAATGTATCGGCCATTTTATATTATAATTTAAATATTTCATCCAAATAATATATTAATATCTATTCCATTAAGTTTATGGTTCATTAATAAGAATAAACATGAATAATTAATCTCAAATTAATTGTTGTAATCAATGATGATTAAATTAGAAAAATGTCCAAAAAATATGTTAATTTATTTTGTCTTTAAAATAAAACACTTATTTAAAAAATAAACTAAATGAGATAAGTAAATTCAAAATTAGATTTATTTTTGCTTAACATTTTAATTGTCTAACAGTGCAAATTCACTTATTCAATTATATTAATTTAAAAGAGTTTAATATATAATGTTTAAAGATAAATTATTATACATATACTATAAGTATTTTATAAGAAATTTAATAATTAATCTACATTAATATCAATATTTATCTGAATGGATTATATTAATAATAGTGTAGAAATAATTAATAATTAGACATTTTTTAATTAATTAATATATTATTTATATATATTTATGAGGATTGATTGATATTTAAGTTAATACTTTATAATAGATTTCAATATCTAATGATTTATATTTCATATGATTGACTAGGAATGATATATACTATAATTAATTAATTGGATATGTGTATTAGTGATGTTAATATGAAAAAAAATTAAATCATTTTAAATAAATTATTAAAAAATAAAAAATACATATGCCATCAAAGAGAAGAAATAATGGTCGTTCAAAGAAAAACAGAGGACATGTCAAACCAGTTACATGCTCAAATTGTTGTAGATTAGTTGGCAAAGATAAAGCCATCAAGAGATTTACAGTCAGAGACATTGTTGATGCATCATCAAAAAAGGATATCTTAGAAGCATCAGCTTATGATACCAAATAATAATAGTCAATTCCAAAATTGTTTGACAAACTCTAAGTAGTGTTTATATTAATCAAAATAGTATTGCATATCATGTGCTATCCATGCTCGTATTGTGAGAGTCAGATCTTCTGAAGACAGAAAAATTCGTGTCATTGAAAGAAAACGACCTGCTTAATAAACAACTTAAAAAAAGGATGCCACCAAAGTCTAAGCTCCAGTCGCAGCTCAATGATATATATATTACAAAAACATACATTAATAAATTTGAATTTCCTCTATGGCTTTCTAATTATGTGAGTATAAATAATTTAAAAAAAAATTAATATCTTCAATAAATGACACATAGTTATGGTTTGAAAAAAGGTACAAGAAGCAAATTTGCTAAACCATTCAGAGGACATGGAAACATTAGCATTCGTAAAACACTCTAAACATTCAAAAGAGGTATATTTACTATCATGAATTCTTAGGTGATTTTGTTGATATTTTGGTTGATGGTGCATAACATAAGGGTGTCCCTTTCTAATATTATCATGGACGTACTGCTAGAGTTTTCAATGTCAATCCAAGAGGAATTGGTGTCTCATTATAAAGAAGAGTCAGAGGTAGATATGTAGAAAAGAGATTCCATGTCAGAGCTGATCATTTGAGACCATCTAAATGCAGAGAAGAATTTGTTAAGAGAGTTTAAGAAAATGATAAAAAGAAAACAGAAGCCAATAAATAAAAAAAACATATTTCAACCAAAAGATAACCAGTCCTTCCAAGAAATGCTGAAGTCGTCAAACCAACAGCTACAGTCTTTTAACATCCAAAAGCATTTGTAGAGATTATTTGAAATATAATACAATAAGTATATCTATTCATCAATATTTTTAATAATATTTATTAAATGATTAATTAAAGAAAAGTCCTGAATGATGAATAATATAAAATACTAGTTGGAA